GAATAGACATTTTTGTCTCACAAACAGAAACACTAATTTCAAATTGTTTGGATTATAACGTTAAAACCTCTAGCATGTGTTTATGATTTTTAAAGTGACTGATCAAGAGCAATAACTCTGTATGAAAATTTGTGTAAAACAAAATGGTATACAAAAGGTTGTTTGTCTCCATAAAAACTGTGTAAGAAGATAAGATATTAATTGCATCAAAACGTCCATTATGGATAGCATGCATATACACTTAGACATAGTCATATACATTTAATAATACATACTACATGGAAAACACATACATTTATATGGGATCACGGTGGCTAAGTGGGTAAGACGCTGGCTTGCTAGCCTGGAGGTCGGGTGTTCGATCACTACAATGGCCGAGAAAATTCATCCCAATTTTCCGGCGTGGTTTCCCTTGTCAGTGATGCAGGACTGAGGGCCTGACAAGGACAGCTGTCTAGTCGTTTGGATGGGACGAAAAACCGAGGTCCTGTGTACACATTGGCGTGCACGTAAAAGATCCCTTGACAGTTGGAATTTGATATAAGAGTAGGCCATCGTGCCGCTGTCCGGGCAAAATTTCCCTCATAGCACACTGTATGGCGTATGCCCGTCTTCATTAACCCAGTTTGGAGCAGAACAGTAGGAAGTTAACCCCATTTCATTTCATTTCATACATTTATACAAACAGTATAGTACATGTATATCTAAGGGGTTTCAGTTACATGTAGTTGCCACCAAATTTGATTTTGATCTCTTATCAAAAGCCAAAAACGCTTATAAAGGCACTGCCTTGGTAATTGAATTTGTTGGGTTAAAGAGATCAAGAAAATTGTAGGAAATCTCAGGATTGACTGTGAAGGCTGGGTATAAATGAGTTTTATATATTTCTTCACACTTGCTACAGATTAGCAAAAAATGTTGCTCGTTTTCGATCGAGTTTAAGTCGCATACGAGTGCATAAGAAAATATTCATTGATAACTATTCTCTCTACAACATTCAAAAGATTTTTAAAAGTAAGAAAAGTCCATAACAATTTTCTAAGACAAGACAATTAATTGACCCACACTATAAAATGATACAATTTAACTTTTAAAAGAAGTACATGATCATTAACATCTCAACACTGGTTTCGTCTGTGAGTCTAAAATTTTAAGTGTATGCAGATACCTGTTTATGTACCCACTTCACACAGCATATTAACATGGAATTATGGAAGATTAGATAAAAAGCTGACAGTTCTCGCTATAATAGTTAAAAAATAGATATGGTAAAGGAATATGCTGAAAATTTCAGTCAATTTACTTTATTCAGAGCCGAGAAATCCTCATTGTAATAGCACTGTAGCCTCGATTATCATTGTTACCGTTATTAAGATAAGATTTTATAGTACTGAAACATCCATTTAGGACAGTATACAATATAAATATGTACGGTACATAAATAAAGATAAATAACAATATGGCAAATAATGTACATAAACATTTACAAACAAAACAAATGAAAATTTTAATCTAGCCTACATTGTTACAATAATAAACAAAATCGCGATTATCCATTTTTATAATTAATCATCAATGGCTGTTAAACCACAGATTGGATTCCAATCTGTTGAAAATCGTACCCATCAGATCATTCAGATGACATCGAGAGTTGATTATGGTCTTGTCATGTTAATAAATGTCTAATTAATAGTTTATATAACATTTAAGGCCTAAAGAAAGACCTGCAATAAGCAAGCTTAGCTCTTGCATAATGCCTGTTTAATGTGAACTACATAATTTAAAAAGAAAAAAAACCCCAAGCGGTTCCAAGATATGGACAGAACACAAGCTTAAAAAAAGGTGATTTTTCATACAAGCAGGGGCCATAATCCAGGAAGTTACATTCTGATATGTGCAGGTATCGAAAGGAACCCAGATCTTTGGTATATAAACATATATTTTAAGTTTCTTCAAAATTGGATACAAATTGTGACCTTTTAAAAGGTCCACAATCTTGGTATTACATACTTTTACACTATTAGCATATATACGGAGCGGCCATTTTGTTGGTCAATTTTGTTGTGATTTTCACAAAATTCTAACTCAACCGTTCTTATGGTGTACTGGTGATATATTTAAACAGTTTTTTTAATCAAATAAAAACTGTGACTTCTCGAGGGTACACAAGCTAAAGGCATGATTTTTTTTGACAATCACGGGCCATAATCCAGCAAGTTACGTTCTGATAAGTGGGAATAAACATATATTTAAAGGGGCATTATGGGAGATTAGATAAAAAGCTGGCAGTTCTCACAATAATAGTTAAAAACTACATAATGTAAATGGAATTTGCTAAAAAATTTCAGTAAAATTGATCCACTCTGAACCGAGATATTAGCCTCGATCATCACTACTAAAGTCAGTACGATACAAAAACATAGTCTTGATTATCCAATTTTGGATTAAATCATCAATGAGTGTTGAGCAGCAAATCGGATTCAAATCCAGTAAATAATGCAGCCTAGCGATGACATCGAGAGTTGATTATGGTCTGGATAAGTTAATTAATGTCTAATTAATAATTTAGATATCATTTCAGGCCTAAAGAAAGACCTGCAATAGGTAGATTTAGCTCTTGCATAATGTATGTTTAAAGTTTCATCAAAATCTGACAAAAACTGTGACATCTTAGAGTGTCCACAAGCTAAAAATGTGATTTTTCGTACAATCAAGCGCCATAATCCATATGTAACGTTCCAATTAACCTATATATCAAGTTTCGTCAAAATCTGATATGGAGGTACAGATAGTTGATATTTTGATTTTGTTGTCTTAATCAGATTTGAAATAATTAATTTGTGTAGGCCTACATTTTAGCATCAATCAAGCCAGGAAAAAATAGATCTTGTCTTAAAAAAATGAAGAAGATAAAAAAATGCAATGTTTACAAATTCTTTGTACATGCATGTTGAAAGAAATCGTAAAGAAGTTTATGACAATAAAAGTGTGTGTTATTTTTAATATTTTATGCAATCTAACAAACAATCTGAAAATATTTACTTAATATAATGTTCATAATCATGTTTTCAAGAACAGAGCAACACATGTAGGATGGAAGCCACAGTGGCTCAATGAGTGAGGTGATGGCTCACTAACCAATGTGTCTGGGGTTTAGTCACAGTGTTGATCGAGAAGGTTCCCCCCAAATTGTCAAGTGTGGTTTCCCCTTGTCAGTAGTGAAGGAGGGAGGTTCTAGTTTAATCTAGTCACTTGGATAAGATGAAAAACCAAAGTCCTTTGTACACCAGGTGTGCACTTAAAGAAACCTTGACAGTTGGAATACAACTGCTATTTGGAAAAAATTTGTCATAGCACACTCTATGGTCTTCATTAGACTGATTGGTGCAGAAAAGAATGACTTCATCCCTTTTTTCATTCATTCATTAATTCATTCATTTAGTACCTTGGATTCATAATCGAAGGTCATTCTTGAGGTTGTCACTCTTAACCTTGCTTATGCCTTTTTTAAAAAAAAAGGAATTTGCTAATAACAATATCCTATTTCTGTGGTGGAAATAATCTTGTTGGATACTTCAATTTCCCCAAGCAAGTAAAAACATGTCTGGTGAAACCAGTTGATATTGAAATATACTATAGAATGCTTTGTTACGAGAGTACAAAATATGATTCAAAGAATGGGTTTAACTAGGTCATTTCGGCACTAACATATGGTTTAGTTTTATTTCAATGGGGAGGAAACCGGAGGACCCTGAGAAAACCCCGGAAGTTGGACAGGCGACCCAAATCCTTGCCACATACAATCAAAAATCAAAACCATGCCACTTGACTCAATGACAGACCTTCTGATTCAACGCGCATGCATTAAACATTCAGCCACCCACCTCCCTAAAAAGTATAGTAGTGCTTTTCGCTAACATGATGTACATGTATATGAGCAGTCGTTGTTGTTTGTATTTCAAAGGAGACCAAAAAAAGCTCCCCTCAATCAACGAATTAAAAATATCGCTCCCCTCAAAAAACTCTCCCAGTTTTGATAAGAAGAGTGATTTAGAAATTAAGGAGAGCGATCTGATATTAAGTATCAATAACTGTATGTTAGGGGGTCATTCTTGGATTCATAAATGATAATAAACCCCCCATGACTATGTAAAGGAGAGCGATTTTCAATTTTAAGGGGAGGGAAAAAAAACTCCCCTCGGTCGACATTCAGGTGAGCGGCAGGTGCTCGAGAGCGATCGCTCGCCTTATAAAACAATGACTGTATGAGGTTTGTCAAGATGTGGCAAAATGTCGGTAGTGCAGATGTGTGAAATAGGCTACATTGTCCATTTTTATAATTCTTCGATAATTTGGTAAGACCTAAATTAAGTGATCTACACTGAAGCATAATAGGACGGAGGGCCTGGCAAGGGACAACATGTCATTCAAATAGGACAAACAACTGAGGTCCCATGTACATATTGCCGTTGACAGCTGGAATTCGAAATAGCACAGTAGAGCATTAATTAAACCCCTATTTCATTTCATGATGTGAAGGTGGCTGGGGGTGGTGGTTCCTAGATCTGTACATGTCCCATTTGGGATACTGTAGGTCTACCGGTACATGTTAGTTTGAATGAGGGAACTTCCTCAATGTTTGCGTACTTATGACAAAGGACTTACACAGGAATGTCTCGGGTTTGAATCCTGGTTCTCATTACTCAGGTGTAACACCTGCAGGTCTGAATGCAAAGTTTTTCTAGCCATATTTGCTTGGGATGAAAAAACATGCACACCAACCATAGAAATAAAATTTGACATGTCAGTCTCTAAATTACCAAATAATTGCATTGACACTACTACCCAATTATTTAATTTCCGATATTGATTAAAATAACCAGTGAAAATAACCAACTGAATAAATAAATTTCACTGAAACTGAACAGCCTCAATCAACATGCTCGCCCATTCTTCACACAATTAATCAAGCACTATGAACTACATGTATTTTATATTACCTCTCCAATATAACTGAATTTTGCTTTGAGGATGAGTCGGTAAAGTCTACTTCGATTGTCATCATCGAATGGCATTGTTCCACTGAGTAAAATATATGTTATAACTCCAACAGCCCATAAGTCCACTTGGCACCCATAAGGTTTCCGAGCCAAAATTTCTGGAGCAATATATTCAGGTGTACCACAGGTAGTCATCATGTAATTTTCAGACCCATTTCTCATGATAGAACTTAATCCAAAATCTGTTATCATTATTTTGGAATCATGTCCTGGATGATAATATAATAAATTTTCCGGTTTTAAATCTCTGTGAGTAATTCCCAATCCATGTAAATAAAGAACACCGTCTACCACCATATTCAATACCCTTGTGGCATCTCTTTCTGTAAAACTTCCTTTGGCAATTATTCTATCGAAAAGTTCACCTCCCGTGGCTAGTTCCATTACCATATAAACTTTTCCGGGAGTTTCAAAAACTTCAACTAACTGTATAATATATTTGTGCCGAACACGTCGTAAAACATTGAGTTCCGATTCGAAAACTTCTTTTCCTTGAACCCTGTCTATCATTTTAATGGCGTAAGGTTGTCTAGTCACTCTATTTTCAACCCGTACGACTCGACTAAAACTACCCCTTCCAATTAGCGCCTTAATGTCATATTTTGCCGTAACTCTTGGATCAAATTTGTCCCGATATTTTTTCACCTTTTTATTTGTCCTCTGTCCGGGTGGAGCGTTTGTGACTGTTGGGTCCCTGGTGGTTCTCGACTGAAGTTGTGTTTGTTTGATTTTTGACGTACGGTTTGCTTTATTCTTAGCATCTTGGTGCCCATAAACTGTTTCCACCAAATGTGCATTCGGCGGCGGCGCTTCGGGTACTAACTTACTATTCACGCATCCCATTGCGTGTCGAAACAATGACTGATAAAACTCTTCATCCCCCCTGCACATAGAAAGGGGCTCCAATAAGTGAACAGAGGCGGTCCGAACGAAAGTTTACCGTTATTTTAGTTCCACATGGGTTCCACCATACTTTTCTCTACAGACTTCAAAGAACATCACCGCCGAGCACCTGCTATTCTCCGCGCCTGCAAGTAGTTCTTGATTCCTCGATCAATATACCTGTAAGGAGGCGTGCGCGTGGTAATTTTATTGATATTTCAAGGACTTGAGCTATGAGAGCGTGTATCTGGCATAAATTATGAACATTATCCCGATCATCCCCAGAGATATTTGGTAAGGCGGATATATATCTACAAATAAACAAGGACTTATTGTGACACGGTCAGAATTAGGCACGTGATCATATCTTGACGTCACGAGTTGTTATAACAACAAAATCTCAGAGTTCTACAGTTCTTCAACTCGAAAATCCAACTTCCTTTTCTCCACACTAAAACATTTCGATATACCCCAGCAGTCTATGTGAATTGATACACTCAATCATTTCCTTTGTTTTAATGAAAAAAAAAAGGTTTGGAATATTGACCTAATTCGCATTCGACGTCATGGAATGACTAGATTTATATATGGAATGATGCCAAAAACCGATTCCCATTCTTGGTTTCAATAGTTGGCATATAACCAAGAAACTTTTTTCAACAAAGTTTCTCTTTTGAATTATAATTTACTGGAATCATGGTGCCAAACCTGTATTCTTTTAATAATTATTATTTCGTAATTATAAATCTAAGAAGTTAAACAACGTTTCTCGCAGTCATTTTTATAAACGTTGAATAGAAGCCGATACATCGCTATTCGCAGCAATCATGAGATAAAAGTTCTTTTGTGATACAAAGTATAATTTTTCTCCCATCATATTATATCGAATATTCCCTTGGGTTGTAAATACGCTGATCATTTCATTACGGTTGATTTTTTTAGTTACCTTATGAAATTATATTTATATATATACCTCTTTTAAAATCTTGAATTCAAAAACAACATTAATATAGGTATATGTGAGTGTTCTCCATATTTTTGTTTTTAATTTAAAATGAATATATGTAAATACTAATTGTAAAATTCAAGCAGAACATTAGAAAAACGTTTGTTACGTTGAAATGTAAATTTTACGTATATAGATAAATTATCAGATGTCGCGTGATATATTCAATGAAACCGAAATGTGTATTACTCCTGTGGTAATCTATTGGTCGCGTGTGTATAACTCCAGGGGTAATAATAGTCCCACTAGATACTCCGGCGATAATTTATTTGTCGCTTGTGTATTGCGCCTTGGGTAATGTATTGGTCGCGTGTGTATTACACCTACAGTGATAATTGCCGACTGTGCTTCACTCCTACGGTAATCTATTGGTTGCGTGTGTCTTAATCCAATTGGTCATTATAGCTGGATCACGTACAAAGAATCCTTCACAGTTGGAATTTCCCTCATTGGCCTCAACACAGACATCCGTCACCATTATCGTGGTTGGTGCAAAACAGTAGGACGTTAAACGCCATTTTATTAAATTTATGTTGCTCCATTGGATTTAATATCGCCTCACACCTTCAACTAACACTAAACCAGCCCTTAGTGGGAGTCCGTTCTAACTGCATTTGAGGTGAATTCGTACAGCATTCGGAGCACCTTCCAACCAGACTTCGGACAGCATGCATTCCGACAGTGTTCCAACTACATTCGAGCTGCATTCAAGGGTTTATTATACACCCGGTGGGGGTTGGATGCCGAATGGTTAGCGCGTTGTCTGTCATTGAGTCAACTGGCGTGGTTTCGATTCCCCGGTTGTACGTGACAAGGTGTATGATCGCCTGTCCAACCTCGTGGGTTTTCTGCGTGTCCTACAGTTTCCTCCCACTGCTGAAGACCCCAAAGAGTAAGTGAATTATTGAAATAAAATTGAAATATGTTAGTCCCTAAACTATTATTATTATTATTAATCGATTTATATAGCGCTTCATTACCATGAGTGTTTTTAAGCTCATTCACAACAAAACAGTTCAAAAACATTTTTGAAAAAAATATGTTTTTAAGTTAGCCTTAAAGCTCTGGATGGAAGGACTCTCGAAGAGTTTTTGGAAGATCACTCCACATTTTAGCTGTTCTGACGGAGAAAGCATATTCACCAGAACGCTTATTATATTTAGGAATCCTCAAACTGCTACGATCATCTTAAGAACTAAGTTTGGATCACCGAGTTCTTTTAAATAACTGGGTGCAATGTCAGAATAAAATGATTTAAACACATTCACAAGAGCTTTAAATTGAACCCTCGCAGGGGCGGATCCAGGGGGGATTCTGACGCTTCCGGAACCCCCTCGAGATTTTTCGGTGCCCTTTTTTCCCGAACGGACTTCCATACACCCGCAGATATTTGGGCCGGCAAGTGGCGACGCCGCGCGGTGAATGAAGACGTCAACGTCATACAATATGGCGACCCCCTTGCTAGACGGCAAGATGAAAATTTTTCGGTAGTTTTTGTTCCTATTTGCATCTAAAATGCCGCGACACGATCGTATCAAAAGGAAAAGGGAGGAAGATAAAATTGCTGCAGCCGCTCAGTGTGCCAAAATCAGCTGTTTCTTTCGGTAAGTGTAAAATTTTACTGCATTTGTTGATTTTTAAGGTGAAGAGAGTAGTCTGTGCGGCAGTCGCTAGATATTTACTATCATCAATGTACAATTAAAAGAGCATTTACACACTTCAAGCTTAGTGATTTGGAGGGCAAATTAAGGCCTAAAATAGGGCACTGTTACGTGAAAATCATGGGTCTAAGGGGCACATTTTTTGCCGAATCGATATAAAATAGGGGCATCTTTACATCAAAGGGGCACTTTTTGTACCTAAATGATTAAAAAGGGCATTTTAATGTGATACCCTTGAATGAGGAGGGCACATTCAACGCCAAGTCGATATACAGAGGGCATTTTAACGTCAAAACCATGGATTGCAGGGGCAATTGAGGCCTAAAATAGGGCACTGTTACGTGAAAATCATGGATCTGAGGGGCACATTTTATACCGAATCGATATAAAACTGGGGCATTTTTACATCAAAAGGGGCACTTTATGTACCAAAACAATTAAAAAGCGCATTTTAACGTGATACGCTTGAATGAGGAGGGCACATTCAACGCCAAGTCTATATACAGAGGGCATTTTAACGTCAAAACCATGGATTGCAGGGGCAATTTTTACGTCAAAAGGATTCAAAGGGCATTTTCACGTCAAACTCTTGGATTTGGAGGGCACACTTTATGGCAAATTTATTTAAAGAGGACCTTTTTATGTCGATCCCATCGATTTGAGGTCAGATAATAGGTCTCAATGTTTTGTTTTCAGTCCAATAATTCATGGTTCAGTATTTTGCATTTTAAGTAAAATAAAAATTGAAAAATTCCATTAATTTATTTTGTTTAAACTTACAATATTTCTTTCTCATGGTATGTGGAATGTTGTTGCAATGCTGTATTATAAATCTAGTTTTATGCCTCTAAAACCCACCAGAGTGGCTTAGAATGGTCTAAAATTTAAAAAAAATTTCCCCAGACCCCCCGCTAGCGCGCGCCTACGACGCCCGCCAGTCATGGATACTGTATTAGACGAAAATGGGGTGCCCTTATTTTTTTGGAACCCCCTCCAGCTAGAGCCCTGGATCCGCCCCTGCCTCGCTCGAACTGGAAGCCAATGGAGTTTCTGTAACTTAGCTGATATATGATCAAATTTTTTTTGTGTTCTAGTTATGAGACGCACAGCATTTGCTTTGCACTATTTGTCTAAAGCTGTTTCTGGTGCTCCCAATAGAAGTTCTTTTAAATAACTGGGTGCAATGTCAGAATAAATTGATTTAAACACATTCACAAGAGCTTTAAATTGAACTCTCGCTCGAACTGGAAGCCAATGGAGTTTCTGTAACTTAGCTGATATATGATCAAATTTTTTTCGTGTTCTAGTTATGAGACGCACAGCATTTGCTTTGCACTATTTGTCTAAAGCTGTTTCTGGTGCTCCCAATAGGAGAGAATTTGCATAGTCCATATGCGATGTTACTAATGCTCTAACAACACTCTGACAAGCATCAGTATTAAGATAAGAGCGTATTCTTGAAATAGCTCTCATTTGAAGGCGCATTATCCTATGATACGATTTGGGGAACTGGGGACATTAAATTCACCGGTCACATAGCCAAGATTTTTAGCCTGCTTCTTGGGAGATATAGAGCAATCACCGATCTGAATGGAATCCGCTTTAAACAATTTACTGAATTGAGATTTTGATGATATGACAAGGAATTCGGATTTCTGGTCATCCATCCTCGAATGTCATTAAGACGAGACTCTACATGTAGTCTACTGATAGAATCCTTGGAAGCAAGCTCGTTGTTGTGCTGAAAGTAGTCATATTTTTGGGTGTCATCAGCAAAGTGGTGGTTTTGTATCCCATGTCTTCTTATGATTTGACCAATTGGAAGAATGTATACGAGAAAAAGGTAGAGGTCCCAATACAGATCCTTGTGGAACACCTATTGTAATACTAATAGCACAGGGTTGAGGCAAAGATCTGTTTATTTGCACCTATTGTGTTATATCTTGAACATATGACTTTATCCATGACAGTGCGGCACCATAGATCACAACTGAATTTGAAATAGAATACTATGATTAAGTATCAAAAGCAGCACTAAGATAGCAAAGTACTGGGTGCCAGCTAGATTATTTTTCAGTGCCAGGTCAATATCGTTTTTAATTTTAAGTAGAGCCGTCTCTGTGCTGTCACCTCGTTTGTAAGCAGATTGAAGGGTTCGTGTAAATCATTTTCAGACAGATAATTTGAAATTTGAGAAGCAATAACTCTTTCAATAACCTTGCCGATGAATGGTAAGTTGGAAACAGGTCGGTAATTCTTACACAAATGAGGATCAAGGTTTGGTTTCTTCAACAAAGGTGAAATCAGAGCTGACTTTAAGCATGCAGTAACAGTACTAGTGGTTATAGAACGATTAACAATGCCAGTAATGACTGAAGCAAAACCTCCAATATTTTCTCCTCTTTAAAAAGCCAGACTGGAAGAGGACCAGAATTACACATAGCAGATTGTGTCGAGTGGAAGTTAGACCCCCCCCCCCTTTCTCTCTCTCTTTCATATTCGGGGCATCGAGTCACGTTCGATGCGCATTCTATGTATTCAGAATATTAGTCAATTTGGAATTCCCTCCCGAATGTAGCGCGAATTTTGAGAATTCTGCAGTCTTGCTGGTTCCTAATAAGTGTGACGGAGCCTTTAGTTTCTGGTCATTTAGTCATTTCCTCTTTGAATGCAAAACTAACTGATATGAATCACGAGTTCGATTGTCATTTAAATACAAGAGCATTTGGAAAATATTTGAGGCAGGCAGATGCAGACTGACCCACATTGTTAACTTCATTCTGTAGTAATTATATATAGGCACCGTGGCTCACCGAGTAAGGTGCTCACTCACCAACCAAGAAGTCGTGGATTCAATCCCTGTTGGTCAAGAATGATCCAGCTTTGTTTTCCCATGTCATTGGTACATGATGGGAAGAATGGCAAGAGAGAAGATGGGTTGCCAGGCAACAAAACATATGCCTACCGCAGCTAAATAGTCTGGAAGGTCGACAAGGGTTGTCGTATATTTATTCTTTTGTAGATAATTGAGGGCATTTACAAGACAATTTCATACAGTTCAGATTATAATTTTTTTCGTTTGACAAAATTTGACCAGCTTTTTCATTTTACTAATTTAAATAATGCATATAAATTTCATACAGATCAGATGATAACTTTTGTCTTTGGAACATCCACAAGGTTCACAAAGTAAAACAACCGCCATAACTCTAGAAATAATTGACGAAAACTGCTGAAATTCAATAGACCTCCGTTTCACATATTTAAATGATGCATATAAATTTCATACATATCAGATGATAACTCATCAATCGAGCATTAACAAGGGCCACAACTCTAGAAGTAATAATTGTGAATTGCTGAAATTATTTGTTTCACTAATTTAAATAATGCATATAAATTTTACAAAGATTGGATAACTTTTGCTGTTATAGCGTTTACAAGGTACCACAAAGTGAAACAAGGGTCATAACTCTAGACCTAATAAACGGAAATGAAATGAAATGAAATTGGGTTTAACGTTCTACTGTTCTGCTCCGAACTCGGCTAATAAGACGGGCATACGCCATACAGTGAGTGTGCTATGAGGGAAATTTTACCCGGACAGCGGCACTACGGCCTACTCTTATATCGAATTCCAACTGTCAAGGGATCTTTTACGTGCAACCACGTGGGAGAACCACGCCAGAAAATCTGGATGAACTTTCTAGGCCAATGCAGGGATCGAATACCCGACCTTCAGGCTAGCGAGCCAGCGTCTTACCCACTTAGCCACCGTGATCCCCCGTAATAAACAGAAATGATTGAAATTAAATAGGCTTCTTCAGCTCAATATATCAATTTAAAAACAATCGGATGATCACTTTTGGCGTTAGAAGGTTCACAAGAAATTGTGGACGACGGACGGACGGAGGCGACTGCAATATACGGCCACATTTCCATGTGGGCGTATAAAAAACTGAGTTCATGTGTACATGTCCGATAAATATTTGTTTTGAGGCGTACATGTCCGATAAATATTTGCTTTGAGGCTAAAAGTATGCGCTTAAGAAACTGCAAAGTTTTTCTTAGTGACTTTGCTCTTCTGATCCACAAGGATGTTTCCACTGAAAGCTAGGGAGAGATCTGTAAACATTTTAACAGTAAAATAATGAGCTGTGAGTGCTTAAAACTAAAACCAGTGGTTGCCATGCAAGATACGCCCACATTTTGTAAGAGATGGATAAAGAACAATTTAAAAAAACAAGCCAACAGTGAGGCTGATATCCCCCGCCGGAATGCCAAAATAAATAGATGACACATTAATTAATCGCACTTTTTTTTTCAAGAGTATCAAGCAATCAAACTGATTATCAACTATACACTAAGTTTCATCACTCTCTAACAGATAGACTCAAAGTTATCTTGTCCCAAAGCATCGACAAATGAAATTGCTTAGCTCTCCTTAGCTTTAGCTCGAAATGTTAATCATTCAACTCATTCAAGACATTCACCTAATGAACATCTATATCAAGTTTAAACATTCTACTTAAATTAAAAGCAGAGTTATGTCTTGACCAATCAATTAAATTGCTTATCGCTCCTTAGCCTAAGCAGAAAATTCTCATCATCGAACTTAGTCAAGGTAACCAAAGTTATCATGCCCAAAAGTATCAACCAATCAGATTTCTTATCTCTGCTTACCTTAAGCAGACAATGTTCACCAAGAAACTCCATCAAGGCATTCACCCAATGAAGGCCTACGCCAAGTTTGAACATTCTACCTCAATTAGAAGCAGAGTGATTGTGTTCCAAAGTCTTGACTAATCAAATTGCTTGTCGCTCTGCTTACCCTCAGCAGAAAATGTTCATTATCGAACTTAGTCAAGGTATTGATGAAATAAAACTATACACCAAGTGTCCTCACTCTCACTTAATTTGAACTAGTCATCGTGTCCCAAAGCATCAACCAATCAAATTGCTTATCTCTGCTTACCTTTAGCACAAGTTAGCAGAAAATGCTCATCTTCGAGCTCCATTGAGGCATTGACCTAATAAACACCTACACTAAGTTTGAACATTCTAGCTCAATTAGAATGAGTTATTGTGTTCCAAAGCCTCGGCCAATCAAATTGCTTATCGCTCTTGCAGAAAATGCTCATTATCGAACTTAATCAAGGTATTGATGCAATGAAACTATACACCAAGTTTCATCACTCTTACTTAATTAGAACTAAAGTTATCGTGTCCCAAAGCATCAACCAATCAAATTGCTTATCTCTGCTTACCCTAAGCAGAAAATGCTCATCTTCGAACTCCATTAAAGCGGAAATTGCAAATTTTCTAAGAAAGTCAAAACGTAATTATTTCTATGTCTTTTGCTCAATAGGTTGTCAACTCACAATTATACGATCATAGGTGTCATTCTCACACTTACAACTCATTTACACAGGAAATAATAACACAATTACCTCCCTTGTTTTCTATTCTCCACCATGGAGTAGCTTTTTTCAAACGTTTGAAAATGAAGAGGAAAATGATATTTTTGCCAATTTCTCAGCTGGCAATAGTGAATTATAGGATTAATAGGATTATTCTTTAACAAGGTAGGACTGTTTATGGATACCATCTATTTTCAGGCTTTATTTTAATAAATTTTAAAAATATAACTTAAAAATTTGCAATTTCCACTTTAAGGCATTGACCTAATAAACACCTACACCAAGTTTGAACATTCTAGCTCAATTAGAAAGAGAATTATTGTGCCCCAAAAAGTGTGACGGGCGGGCAGACAGACAGACCCATTTTAATAGTCTCCTGCTTTCTTAGAAAGGCGGGGGACAAAAAGCGATTGTTCGTACAATCAGGGACCATAATCCAGGAAGTTATGGTCTAATATGAGTGATTGTTTGTACAATCAGGGGCCATAATTCAGAAAGTTATGATCTGATATTCGCGAATATTTTAAGGAACCAAGATCTTTGGGTTATATACATGCATTTTAAGTTCCATCAAGATCAGATGAAAACTGTGACCCCTAGAGTGTCCACAACAATTGTAGACGGACAGAGGCGACGACAATATTTTCCATATGAAAATGTGGGCGTATAAAAACAAATTTCAGAGACTTCGCTTCCTAGACCCAGATAGAAGGCTTCTACTGAAAGCTATAGAGGGTAGAAAATTGCAAAAAATTTTGAGGGCTTATTGATTACTTGTATAAAATGATAAATATTTGGTAAGGTTTCCAAAATGTGTAAAATATGAGCTGACAATTCAAAACTGCAAACTTTGGGGAACTTATTGACTATATAAAGATAAATATTTGGTTCCTTAGGAAGATTTACAAAGGTGCTGACCATACCCCCAGCTGCTTTACTTGTGACCTTTGATTTGTCCTTTGATTGCTGCAGCTACAGGCTGACAATGGGAAGTTTCTTTCCTTGAATACTTGATCAAAACAAAATCAACAACTTCAACTTCAATTTTTTTATTCTTTATTTACATATAAACAATACTATCTTCTGCCTTTACCCTTTGCTTTCATATTTTTACCACCTCCATTTTTCAGAAACTTATTTGGTGTGCTCTTTTTGCCGACTAAACCCATGTCTTTTCTTTCCTGATATGAGGGTCTGCAAATAGAAATATATTAATTATTGATGAAATATTCAATCAATTGTTGTCTTTTTGTCTTGTGTATTTTATTCTTTGCTGGTATTCTGCATCAATCTGTTATATAGATTTGAATGTCAATATCAACCTACTGTTTAAAGATGTCAACGTCAACCTACTGTTATTGACGAGTAAAAGATTATTGATTAGCCGGTCATATTATATTCTATTAGGTGTGAATTTTTATCATTATATTGTTCAAACTTTAAGCAGATTAGAAAGAGAAAAATGAGATTATAGATACACTCAACACAAACTAGCTCATTTTAGGACTGAATTATGGTCAATTTTATTTCAATAACTTGCTTGCACTTAAGAGATCTTGAGCAGTGAAAGAAACCTGAGGACCCAGAGAAAACCCCTGGGGTTGGGCATATGACCACTCTCCTTGTCACATACAGGCTTGGCATCGACTAAATTACAGCCCTTTTGATGTACTGTGCATGCTTTAGACAATTCGACTTGACATTTGACTCAAAGACTAAAGCCCACAAGCTAAACCATTTGGCCACCCAAACCCCATATTATGGTGTTGAATTGATAGTTGATTTTCAGTAGACACTTGTGCGAAATGCCTTACCAGTAGGAGACCTCTGTTTAAATAAAAATGTCTCTTCAATTAATCAGCATGTTTCATTAAAGAAGCAATATTGTTATTTATTTATGAAAACCAACCACCTATATAATGGTCATCTGCAAACTTAGTGAATCATTAAAAACTCCACATTTCTTAAGTACAACAATTTAAAACTCTTAATTCTTAAATCAGTAAGCTACCAGTTTGTTTACAGTGGTACTATGGAAGCCTGTTGCGGTTATTTTATAATCTTAACTTCTCACAGCTAAAAATGTGAAGTTGAGAGGCGAGAAGTTGAGGGATGAAAAGTCGAGAAAGGTAAGGATATTCAAACGCAAGAAAACAAGTTGAGAAGTTGGGGATGAAGGAGCAAGCAATTAAGATTGCAGGAAGTCCGCAAAAGGTTTCCATAGTTTACAGTAAGCAAAATATTTGAGAGATAAACATTATTCCAGAAGAATGCAAGTACCATTCATCGGTTGGTTATTTCAAATAAAAGTATGGCAATTTTGGTATATATGGAAAGAAGAAACACCTATGTAGTCTTCCTTGAAAAACACCCAGGACGAAAATAAGAGGGTGTCACTAATTGACAGCCCGACTATTAAGACTGACCTCTTTGTGTTAGGGAGAGCTTGATGTATATGTTGATAAACTTGATGGTGAGCGGACGTGGAAAAAATGAGAGACTTAAACGTACAAGTTTTTAGGCTTCGATACTTATGGTAAATGGACAGTGATTAAAGACATCATTGTCTTTTATATATGCAATGAATTCTCCTTTGGCTTTGCACCCGTTGCTTGTTACTGCGACTGCCAAGTCACGTGACACAAACATGACTTTTTTTAATAGATTTTTTATAGCTTAGGGTATTTCCTCACGAATACAATGTTTTCAGAGGAATTTGAAGCACAATTTTTGAAAGATTAATTAGTTTAAATATGTTTTTAGTATTTATCATCAAATCACCAAGTTTGTACATGGGAAGGTATCTTTAAACTGTTAGAATTTTTAAATTAATATGCATATTCAATAATTAGTAGGCCTATGATTAGCAGCTGACGACAAATTATTCTGGCTTGTAAGACTTATTACTGCTTTAATATATCTTGGTGCCAATTCTATACAGGGCTTCAATTTCAGTGTCAAAATTAATCGCAGATGGTTGGATATCCCTCTTTCTGTTTTACACCGACATATAAAAATCTACATACCCTTTTCTAAATTTCTTTAATGCTGGTTTATCTGTACTTGTGAGTTCTTTGTCAAAAAATTTCTTTTCTGAAGATTTTACTAGTTTCTTCTGTTTATTCTTAGAAATTCGATTAAGTTTATCTGCAAATAAACAAATCAATAGCCCTAATATAACTTTTCATTTGATAATAACTAATAACTTTGTCATTAACTTGCAGATCAATCATCAAATATTATATACACTAATACAACAATTTCCACAATTAAATACATGTTTAAATTTTATTTTGTTTTTTTTGGTATACTTTACATAAACTGTACACCACAATGATTAGAATATATTATAGAAGGGATAATAACGTAGGGATTTAAAAATTTTAATGTTTTGATTTTTCTTACCTGATTTTTCCTTCGTTTCACCATAAGCTCTCATTCTTGTCTGTTTAAAATTTTTCTTACTGACTCTATTACCATACAGCTGAGCTGTTTTCATTTCTTTTTCCACTCTTTCTTCAGGCTTTTAAAATAAATATAGTTATGTTATACCCAATACAGTATGGAATGTTACATAACTATCTTCATTCACATCAAGTTCAAGTTACATTTTAAAATCTCAACACAGATTTTCAAATAGAAAGCTGAATAATGGAGTAAAACTAAAAATGAAAACAAAAATGAATCTCACCGTTTTGAACTTTTTTACTTTATCTTTTGATTTTGATTTAAAATCTGGTTTCTCACCACGTCTTAGACCCTCTAATAAAATAAAATAAGAATACATTTCTTTGACAATGCTTAATCAATCAGTGTGATACATGGTTATGAAAATAACCATATAACATCAAACACCATCTTCCAATTACAAGTATGAACTGAACTTTCTTATTTGAATCCTTGATATTATGAGCCAGTATTTTTGTTTTAATTGCTGTCTGGCTGGCAACAATACCAGGATTTGGGCTTGTTAAATGATTAAATATGCATTATGTAAGAGTTAAATCTGCCTATTGCAGGTAATTTTTTTGGCTTCAAATGTTATATAAACTATCACTTAAACATTTATTAACAAGACAAGCCCATAATCAACTCTGTAGGCCATTGGATGGCACCGAATTACAGTAGATTAGAATGCTTTGACCATTTAGTGATTTAATTTAAAAATGGAGAAGCGAAGCTAAGTCTCAAATAACAAGTACCATTGTTACGATAATAAACAATCTATGCACGCATCTTGTCAAAACCGCAAACATTTATAACTTTGCTCAGAATAAATTAATTTGAATGGAATTTTCAATACAGTGGACTCTGTCACTTCCGACATCTGAGTACTACGGCATTCTGTCATCATTTTCATGTCCCGATTTATTTCCTTATTACTTCAACCAAAAAAGTTTTGAGTAATCCAGATTCTGAATATTCCGAATTACGACATCAATCAGCAGTCCCGTCACACGATTTTTGTACAATTAACATTGAATAATCCTGCCTTCAATCAGTGGGTGTTAGCATAAAACAAGTGTCGGTCTTTGTTGATTACCTTGATAATTTTATAATGTCTAAGACATTATATATAAATTGCCAAGATGACATTATAATTTTGTATTCATAATGTGCGATCGTCCTGCAAAGCGTGCCCGACTGCTCTTACACATTTGACATTGGATGTCAAGCAGCAAATTATAGCAGATTTTGAGAAAGATCCACGAACTACACAGAACGAATTAGCCATTAAGTATTCAATTGGCCGTACTACAGTATCCGACATTTTAGTCAATTGGTCGGCCAATCGTAAGGCTTGGATGACAAGTGCTATTTATTCGGGTTGGTGTATCTTCTGACGATGAAGATGACGATATACTGCTTGCAAAACTAATCGCATCCCTGGTACCTTCTTCAAACACAACAGAAGGAGATTTTATCAATTTCGATGATGGGTATTAGAGGATTTATTGTAATAAAACTTCCGGTATTCATAGGTAAACATAATACTTCCGGTATAATTGAGGCAATTTGAGTATTCCGACATGCTGTCTAATTCGGCATATTGTATTGTTTCCGTTCGATGTCGGAATTAAAAGAGTCCACTGTATATTCATTTTTGCAATATCTATTTTTGATCTAGTACAGCAACAATGGCCAGCTTTTTTTTTATCTAAATCTTACATAATGCATCCTTAATGAAAGCTGACTGCATTAATACTGCATTAAAAAAGAAGAACTAAATAGAGAGTGGCAACATAATGCTAAGCTAAGCTAATACAGTAATACATGAGGGCCTCTCACAAAGGAGATTAAAGTTATCAGCTAATATCTTTCAAAGGGAGAGAACTCCTTAAAGCTGTTCAATGTACATCATCTTCGTATATAATTACTGTGTCAGATTTAGTCTGAAAAAATACATATACAAAGAATTTCTCAAACATTTCTGTGTGTACAAGTAATGTAAAATATCATTTTTTGCCCTTTCTTAGACACAAAAAACATCTGGCAATGTTAAAGTTTTCACCAATATAAATAACCTACTCTTTTCTTGACGTCTTTCTTGATGTGTTTGAAACCAAGTGCGACTCATTCCTGTTAGATCATCCTGTTTCTGTAATCTGTCTTCAGCTTTGTTCACTTTCTTCTCTGTGGCTTTCAACTCTTTTTCTTCCTGTTGTTCCAACATAATTTGTGAAATATCTCCTTCCATACTGGCTATTTCATCACGGTATTTAGATATGACCTCTATAGTTGTAAAAATAATTCACTATTTATTGAAATACAAACGTGATGTAATATGTACCTGTATCATCTTTTATTTGAAGTTTTTACAAACTATTCAAAATAAATAGGTTAACTTCTCAACAAAAAAGAATAAACCAAGTCTATTTAAAACAAGCCAAAAGGGAAACTGATGTCTTCAACCTTAATCCCAAAGTAAACACATTTATCTTTATATAAAGCATCGAGCAATCAAATTACTTACAGAAAATGTTGATTATCAGATTCAAGGTACCGATGTAATGAAACTATACCCTAACTTTCATCACTCCAAACCCATTAGAATGAGGGATATTGTGGTCCAAAGTCGTGTCTACAAATTTTGAACAATTTACCTCAATTCGAAGCAGAGTTATTTTGTTCCAAAAGGTGCTGCAGATAGACAGCCAGACAAAGAGTATGTGACACTATGCCCTAAAACAACGAGGTAGAATGGACTCCACTTGTCTTACAACATAAAACTCTTTGTTTATATATCTTTATAACATATTAATAAACCAGCGGTTGCCAGGCAATATACGATTTTTCGTACAATCAGGGGCCATAATCCAAAAAGTGATAGTCTGAAATGCACAAATATCGAAAGGGACTGAGATCTTTGGGATATAAAGATATATTTCACGTTTGCACTGTTTGCGTACTGTTTGTTAGGCAGATTTGGTCCAAACTTCAAACTCAACCAGCATTGCGGTGTAACAGTGATATATTCGAATGTTTTTTTAATTCGGATTATAATTGTGACCTCCAGAGGGACCACAAGCTAAAAGCGTGATTTTTCGTACAATCAGGGGCCATAATTCAGGAAGTTACGGACCAATATGCGCGAATGTCGAAAGGAACCAAGATCTTTGGGTTATAAACATGCATTTCAAGTTTCATCTAAATCAGATGAAAATTGTGGCCTCTAGAGTGCCCACAAGCTAAATATGTGATTTTTCGTACAATCATGAGCCATAATCCATGAAGTTATGGTCCGATACATGCCAATATCGCAAGTTGTGACCTGTAGAGGGTCCACAAACAAATTGAGGATGGACGAACAGGGGCGACGACATTATACGTCCACATGAAAATGTGGGCATACGGCCGGCAGAAATATCCTGAAGTCTGAAGCATTATTTAAAGATTATTCAAAACAGAAAAAAGCTTCATTTGTTCCCTTTAACCTAATAAACTGAATAAATCATCTTGACTCGGGTCAAACAGGCAATAAAAATGATCATACCTTGTGGAACTATTCTAACTTTCAAGGGTGTAACAGCTTTCTTAACAACTTCTTTCAACATTTTACGCTCTTTCTCTCCGACTAATGTCACAGACCTAAAAGAATATTATTCAATTAGGTGATTGAAAAATCAAAGAATAAGTGTAGACTACTTATATAAATAACTTCTGTGACATTAGATTTTTGAAAAATAATTATCCTATAATTTTATTTGTTTATTTACATACCTTCCACTTTTACCAGCTCTAGCAGTTCTTCCAACTCTGTGTATATAATGTTTGGTTGTGTTTGGCATCGTGAAATTTATTACCTATATATATATATATAAAACAAAATTCTAATTTCTTTACCTGTGTACAGATGAGAATTACTGATTTACTTGCACAGTGTGTCAAGTGCCATAATAAAAACAGGGAGAAAGAAGGGTTTTTTTTAATTGTCTGCGATATCAGCATCAGTGGAAACAGATGTTAAACCCTAATATCCACTTCCATTGAAGGTGACAAATTGTCTTATTTTTATTAACTTAGCGCATGTGCAGGTGTCTTTACTGGTGGAGGAAACCAGAGTACCTGGAGTAAACCCACAAGGTTGGGAAGGCGCCCCTATCTCCAAGCCACAAACACACACAGGATCGTAACCACAACTGCAAGCCAGAGGTGACTGGCCAGCGCAATGCCCAACACTCTTAGACCACTAAGTCACTCCCACCCTCCTTCTAGATCACTTACTGTTTTGACTTCTTTTATATCTAACCCTCTAGCTGCTAAATCTGTAGCTAACATAACATCTACTAGACCATCTTGAAATTTCTTTAATGATTCCAATCTCTGAAAACAATATTATGTACAGAATGTATTGTGAAACAACAAAGCCTTGTTCATAATAATACAAGGAAATCATTTATTAGAAGAATGGGAAGAAAACAATCCTACCTCTGCCTGTGAAAGCCTCCCATGTAGCTCTCCAACATTAACACCAAATAGTCCTAGTAGAATATGCATTCTATGGGCTTGAGCTCTAGTCTGTATAAACACTAAACATCTATCACAGAATGTTCTACTAACTAAAGCTGAAAAACAAAACCTCATTTAGAATAAAAATGTGAAGATTGTGTGGATCAAATAGTTTATAGTCATAAAACAGGTGATGATATTTGAAGCAAAAATCATTTATTATTTACATTCCTGATAAAAAAAACATTTTAAAATATTCATCAAAACAAATCTATACATTTCCTAGTTTCTGCATATCCTAAATTAGTTGTACCAGAGCTTCATTACAAAAACTGAAAACCAGAAGACAACACATACCAGCTACAATAGCTTCTCTATCCCCTTCTCTGTTTGGTCTAATTCTAATAAACTCCTGACGTAATCCCATAGCTACATCAGTCGCTTCATTCATAAATATCTTTACAGGATTCTTTAATGATACGGCTGCAAGTTCTTGAACCTAAAATGAAACAGATAAACTTATGACTGAGGACACATAATAACATACAAATTATCTAATTTAGCATGCATGAAATTTGTATCCTTTTCATTTAAAGCTTTCTTTATAAATTAATCTATTTATTAAATTTTAAATAAATCAGACCAGTTTCAAGCAGTTGTATCTTTCCTTAAAGCTTTGTTATAAACAATGAAATACTTACACCTTCTGTCATAGTAGCCGAAAACAACATAGTTTGTCTCTGATAAGAACACATTTTTATAATTTCGTGCATCTGTTCCGCAAAATATTCATCTAACATTCTACAAACACACAAAACAAATAAAAAGAACATAAAAGATTAAAAAGATCTGTTTGCTAAGCTTCTTTTCCCATACTTTGTATAATTGCCATAAGGCTTTATGCCTACTGCTCAACTGCCATTTTGATCACAGTTAGCAGTATGTAGTTCCTGAATATTTCAAGGAAATTGTCATACTGCAGGTCTTTTTTTGCGGCCTGAAATGTTATATAAACTATTTATTAGACATTTATTAACATGAAAAGGCCTTAATCAACTCTCGATGTCATCTTTTGTGTTCGATTTTCCCTAGATTTGAATCCTATCTGTTGCTCAACACTCATTGATGATTTAATCCAAAAGTGGATAATCGAGACTATGTTTTTTATCATAGGGACTTTAGTAATGTGAGGGAGAGAGAGAGAGGGAGAGAGAGAGAGAAATGAGTCCACTCACACAAACATGGTTCACTTTTATTTCAATAATTTGCTTGCGTGTGGGGTCTCTAAGAGTGGGAGGAAACCGGAGGACGCAGAGAAAATCCATGAGGTTGAACAGGCGACCCTACTCCTTGTCACATACAACCGGGGAATCGAAACCACACCAGTTGACTCAATGACAGACCTTATGATACACTACGCACGTGCTAACCATTCAGCCATCCAACCCCACCTTTAGTAATGATGATCAAGGCTAGGCCTAAAATTTAAACACCAATATCGTGGTTCAGAGTGGAGCATTTTGACTGAAATTTTCAGCATATTCCATTTACAGTATCTAGTTTTTAACTATTATAATGAGAACTGCCAGCTCTTTAACTAATCTTCCATAATGCCCCTTTAAAAGTGGGGAGATCAATAATTTTTACTTGGCAATAATAACTTACCTATCCGCTTCATCTAGTACTAATATTTCTATAGACCCAAGGCTAAAACCAGGTGAATTGTGTAGATGATCTATTAATCTACCAGGTGTAGCTATAACTATATCTGGTCCTAATCTTAACGCTGCTTCCTGAGATTTTAAATCCAATCCACCTAGCAATGGAAATATTACATGTATTTGTAACATTCGTTAACAAATTTGTTCCCTGACATATGAAATAAAGGGTCAAACATTGCAAACCTAACAAAGAAGTTAACATTTTCTAAGGATCAATGTACAATTCTATAATTCATTTTTATGTAAGACACATGAGATGAAAAGATCTTTTTATTTTATGAATTAACTAGAGGTTATTTTGCATTCAATATTTTTGATGATCACTCCATCTGATGTTAAGTTTTACAAAACTTTCATTCTCTGGCATCAGATTAACAATATCCTTATATTAACAAATCAAAATAGAGAAAGAGAGAGAGAGAAATTGGGTTTAACGTCCACTCAACACAAACTAGGTCATTTCGGGACTAACATGGTTTAATTTTTTTTCAATAATTCGCTTGCGACCCTACTCCTTGTCACGTACGACTGGGGATTCAAAACCACGCCAGTTGACTCAATGACAGCCTTTATGATACAGTGTGCGCGTGCTAACCATTCAGCCATCCAACCGCCGCCCCCCACCCAAATCAAAATAGCCCAGACAACAGTTCTCTTTGCTAATCTAAATAGTTCTCTTATTGGCTCATTGGACATTTTAAAAAGTTGGTGCAATTTTCTAAATCACAAAATGATTGGGTTTTGGATTTAGAGTCGACCAGTAATACTGAATGAGCCTAGGAAAAAATCTTCAGATCAATATGTGGGTGACTAGAAAAATCAAATGTAATGTCAAGTATAATTTTAATTAGGCTCTGTACTAATACAGCTTTGTGATCTTTGATAAATCATATTAAATTATCATTCACATAACAGGGAACGTACACAGATTTTTGTCAATTTTACGATTTTTATGATATTTATTAATTTAATTCTATGATTATTTTATGATGTTTTTATCAAATTTTATGATATTTTTATAATGGAAAAACAAAAAAATAAAAAAACACAACACAATTTATATGGAAAACAATCACTGGTTTATACATATATAGCAAAAGGTTTCGACAAGTATTCAAGTACAAATGTTTTTATCACATTTTATGACTTTTTATGTTTTTATTATCAAATATGTATTTTTTTTATATAACTGCACTGACGGTAAATAACTTATCTCTGGTCCATGAAGTAGTGTTTAGCCAGTGTTATGTGGATAGTATTAATGGTCGCAGTCATCTCCTCCTATGTTCATATAAATGAAATGAAATGAAATGGGGTACTTTAGCATTCCACTGTTGTTTTATTTTTAAACTATTCGTCTATTTTTTTCAATACCACCAATCATGTTGAACTGGTTTCAAACGGAACATTTTGTGCACACTTTGAAGCGAACTCATCAATAGCCTCATCAAAAATAACAGTATGTGACAAGCGATTTTCGATACAGATAATAAGCTTCTTCTGGACATTAGTGACGAATCACACAGTCCTTGGTCGGCAAAAGATCTGCACAATTGGCAAAAATATTGGAAAATATTGAGATTTTTAGCGTGACAGTTTCTCTTTCAGTTTCGTTTTTAATGATCCGATACCAATCAGCCTACATAAGCGATTCGCTGGCGGCAGAGAACGACATTGGCACGCTTACCATCATTGTAGGGATTACCTGCCGGGGCCCGGATGACCCGGCGGTGATGAAAGCCTCAAACAGAACGAGGACAGGCCGAGGTCCCACAACTTGAATGTCCGGGCAGGTGGTTTATAGTTTTAAATTTCACGCTACTAGGTATACATATTCAGTAAAGTCACCCATTTTCTTCTACTTTTTGATAAAGTAACAGTATATTTTCTTTATTAATTTATACTAACAAATTTTCTTAAAACATTACCCGGCAAGGATCCGGGCCCGTGGGACAAGTGGCCCAGCTGTCCCCCTCTCTCAAGGGCACTGCCGCCATACAGTGTGCTATGAGGAAAATTTTGCCTACCGTCCTGCACTACTGACAATGGGAAACCACACTGGAAATTCTTGATGAACTGTCTCGGCCAACACCGGGAGCGAGAGAGAGAGAGAAATGGGGTTTAACGTCCACTCGACGGTCTCTGAAATAACACTGTAAAAATAAACAAACAAACATACCAACAGCTAAACACAGTTCTATTGTACTAAACTGTGCCAACTTTCTCCCTACAGTATGGACTTGAACAGCTAATTCTCTTGTGGGTACCAGTATTAAAACTCGAGATACAGAAGAATTTTTAGGTTTGTATAGCAACCTCTCCATTATGGGTAACATAAAGGCCACAGTTTTACCTTACAAATAAATGACAATTTCAACAATTATTGCTAATTTCTGAATCCATTACAAATTTTAATAAAACAAATTTAAAACAAAAAAATCTCTTAATGAAATGATTCAATGCAACAATTTTCTTCAGTTTAACAAATTGATATTTTCTTAAAGAATGTCCGATTGAAAGAAAATCAATTTATATACCTGACCCAGTCACCGCACAAGCACATAGATCTTTACCCATCAGAGCTTTAGGTATGGTGGCTGCCTGTATAGGTGTTGGTTTTTCGAAATTCATTACACTTAATGCCTAAAGAAATGCATGAAAATGAATTAATAACAAATTACCTTGTTATTTTAAAGACAATTTGTCAATCTATAAATCCATGTACACATGCCAGTGCTATGTGAAAGCGATTAGACCAAATTTAAAAATTATTCTCACAAGAAAGACAGGTTGCCAAGCAATTAAAAGACAGTAAAAACTGAGCAAGAGTAAGAGCCAACGAAGTAATTATTGGGAATAATTAAAATTTGATTGGATCCTAATTTATTATACGCAACCAGTAATCAGATGATAACATTAGCAAATCATTGAAAACCACAGGTTTTTTCAACTCATGATCACAAACATTGTGAATAAAATTCATGTCCATCGGATGACAACTTTCATGGCAGTAATTATCAGAAGATGGCTTCTTCATTTTATAAACATAAATGAATCCATAAGACATCTCTGAAATGATCAAGGACCATAACTCTTGAATGTAATAATATGAAATTGTTGAAAATCAATACTCTTTTTTGTCCCATCAACTTTTAAAACCACTGTGTATAAATTTCAAGCCTGCAAGGTGATCACTTTAGTCTATACAGCATTTACAAGCAATTGTGAACAACAGAGTGGTTATATTTGGCATTGTAGAATTTACTGAAATATTTACCTTCATTAAAGGTCTTGTTACATTCATGTCTGCAAAACCCATATTCTCATCATAGGTATCAATACATTCTGAAAACTCCATAATCTAAAAAAAAACCAACAAAAAATTGAGCTAATTCTCTGATTATTTGGCTTTTCTAAAAAAATTTCCAAATGATTTGAGAAAATTTCAAGCAAATTGGATGATAACGACTTTTGTGCTAGCGTGTTCACAAGATTCTAAAAAATGAACAAAGACAACAACTTTGGAATTCCTTGTAGGTTGCTTTTACAGTAAGTAATCTGAAAATTTCAAGCAGATTGGGTGATAACTTTTGTTATCACAAGATTCTACAAAATGAACAAGGACAACAACCATGGAAGTTATTATCAGAAATAGCTGGAATTGAATAGGCTGTTTGGTTTCACCTATCGGCGGTTTGGTCTGGCGTATCTGAGCAATAATTAGAAATATTAAGTTGATCAGAGGATGGATAACTATCAGGTTTAAAAGATTCTACAAATGGGTTAAGGGTAACAATTCTGGAAGTTATCTAGAGTGTTAAAAACAAATTGTGGACAACTACATTTCAAAGTGGGGGTATAAAAATAATCAACAAATTTGATTTAAATTAATTAACTATTGACCTCTTCTTCAACTTTCATCTTCTTTCTCTTTCTTTTCTCTTTTGTTCGTATAACATCTAAAATTAAATTAAAAAAAATTACAGAAAAATCAATCTTAGAGTTAACCAGTGGTTGCCAGACAAGATACGCCCACATTTTGCAAGAGATGGATAGAGAACAAGCTAAAAAAAGAAGCGATTTTTCATATAATCAGGGGCCACAATCCAGGAAGTTATGGTCTGAAATGTGTGAATATTGCGACCTCTAGAGTGTCCACAACCTTAAAATACCATATTTTTACACTATTTGCGTACGAGCGAAGGCCATTTTGTCTGGCAGATTTGGTCTTAATTTAACGAAATTCAAACTCGCCTATCCCTATGGTGTAATGGTGATAGAATTGAATGTTTTTTAAATAGGATAAAAAATGTGGCCTCTAGAGGGTCCACAAGCTAAAACTACGATTTTTCGTACAATTAGGGGCCATAATCCAAGAAGCTACAGTCCAATATGCGCGGATACTGAGATCTTTGGGCAATAACACACATTTTTAAGTTTTATCAAAATCGGATAAAAATTGTGACCTCTAGAGTGTCCGCAAGCTAAAAACATGATTTTTCATACAATCAGGGGCCATAATCCATGAAGTTACAGTCTGATACATGCCAATATCGAAGGGATCCGAGATCTTTGGGATATAAACCTTTATTTCAAGTTTCGTCAAAATCGGATAAAAATTATAACATGTGTAGTGTCAACAAACAAATTGTGGACAGACGGACAGGACTGACGACAATATACATCCACATGAAAATGTGGGGGTATAAAAAGAGGTATACAATCAGACATTTTATTACAACAATAACTCGTTTCCAATTAAAAATAATTACATTACCCAGAACAAGAATTAAGCTTAAGAAGAATTTAAAATGTTAGCAACCTGTGGCCATTTCCTCTCCAGATGATGACTCTTCTTCATTGGGATCAACATTTAGTTCATCTTCATTAATGCCATTATTATCTCCAGCTTTCTAAAAAATATATGATAAGATATCTTTTCAGAAACATATATTTCAACATTAAAATAACAAAATTGTGATGTACTTTGCATTTAAACAGATCTACACTAAATTCCTAAATGTTTGCAGAGTATGTTGGACATAATTAACTAAATAGAACTCTACCCATTAATAGAACTCTACCCATTAATAGCAGAGGTTTCTTGAAATCAATAATTCCAATTGTAGAAATTAAATAAAGATATGCACAGCATATCAATAAACAATAAACATAGCAATAAACACTAACCTCTCTTTTTCTTTTCTTTCTCACATCTGCTATTTTATCATCTAGAGCTGAAATGTGTTTCTTCCGTTTAGCTTTGAGAATTATGTCATCAAATGAAATATTTTGGTAAGGATCCAACTGGAATAAAACATATAATTATATTGAAAAATACACAATAATAAATTACTTTTTATTGAGTTAATGCAACCCTCTTGTTTTCTTTCAGATTGCTAGCTGATATCTGAGTGATGATTGATTTCTATGAACACTTAGACTAACACAACATCTAACCTTTGTTTTTTTCGTGGGTTGATTACTATGTAAAGAACACTTTAAAGTCCTTAATATGCTAAATTTAGCCGGGAACAATGATTATTCCCATTATGGCACATTCTGGTTTTAAGCCAAACAAAAAAAAACCCTATGTTTCCTATAATCCTATTTCTATTCCAAAACGATTAGAATAGGTGGGAATTGAAGATAACACAATTCAACACAAAAGATCATTCAGATTATGGTTTAATCAAGGGCAATAACTCTATAAGTATTTATCAGAAATTGTTATGTAAATAAACATATAATAATAAATATGTACAAATTTCAAAAAGATCAGATGATAAATGTAGTCCTGTGGGCAATGAACAAGATAGACAGATGCAAAGGCAATATCAAAACAAAGTGGCAACCAGCCAGACAGATGCAAAGACAATATTAGAACACATTTATATGTGGGAGCATAAAAACAAAATTAAAAATAATCCTCAGGTACCTGATCATTAAACTGAAATGATATATTAAATTCAGTGTGGTTTGGCTTTTTTTTCTTTGCTGTTTTTGCTACATTTTCCTGTAAAAGATATGATAATATTGATAAAAACAGTCAGTTTAACACAGTAAATTATGTAGAGAAAATAGTATATTAAGGGCTCAGTCACAATGGATGTATGGCCATACATTTTCCTGTAAAGATAGGATAATATTGATAAAAACAGTTACAATTTACATGTAACACAGTGAGTATTTCTAGAGAAGATAGCATATCAAGGGCTCATGATCAGTCACAATGGATATGTGGCCATATATTTGTGTGATATTGAGCTATGCATAATATTAATATGACTTGACATCCTCGGTACCAGTATCCTCTGTGGTATTGTTCCCTTCTACTCCTTAAACTCTTGGTCCATTCACGGGGGAGAAACATGATTAATTTAACCGCCCTTGATAATTGTGCTATTTCTATCGACAAGTGAGAGAGAAATGAGGTTTAACGTCCACTCGACACAAACTAGGTCTTTTCGGGACTAACATATGGTTTAATTCTAATTCAATAATTCGCTTGTGCGTTGAGGTCTTTAGCAGTGGGAGGAAACCGGAATACCCAGAGAAAACCCACGAGGTCGGACAGACGACCCTACTCCTTGTCATGTACAACCAGAGATTCAAAACCACACCAGTTGACTCAATGACAATGATAGTGGAGTAGAATGGAACAATGACACTGGGGATACCACAGATAATGAGGTGATAGAGCCAATCTGATTAAAACACAGATCCTATTTCGTTTCGGTTTTTATAGTTCAAAATTTTGTTTTATTTGTCTGTACTACACTAGGATCTGGAAGAGTTTTATACAACCTGCGTTCTGGAGAGCGTGAGGGATTAGCCAATATTTAACCATCTGTTACAGCGACTTCTTGGCGGAACTGTGGGTAAACCACTAGAAAGGTCAACACTGATTGATTAATAAATGTCTGATGTCATAGGGTCAAAAGCTGCTTGTACGACCCCTGACGTGATTTTCATTACAACTGGTCAGATCTTCATGAAGTTTAGGCCATCGAAAGTATAAAAAAAAGGGAACGAAATATGGATCTGTATTTACGAACCCGGCCATATAACTTATAAGATGAAACGAAATTTAGGTAAGCCTGGGAGAAAAAAATTGAAATCTTTGAAAAGTTGAGAATCTCCAGTCATTTATTGCTTTGCCTAGCCCAATTACAATAATTTACAATCAATTTTTTTCAAAAATCCTATTTTTTTCCACCCAGGCTTACCTAAATTTCGTTTCTACTTATATGGCCGAGTTCGTAAATGAAGTCGGTTAGAAGACAGGGACGAATTTTTTAACAACGTGTTGTGTGGCTCATACTGGTTCTAGCGAGGTAAGCCAGTTCTTATTTTCTCACTTAGATGTTCAGTTACACATTGTTCAGTCGGTCACAGAGATACGAGTGTTGTTAGTAGTAAAAAGTTGTCCAGTAAAATTGACTGGGAAGCGATTAGATTTTCGACAAGAATTCAATAGGACAGTTCCTGAACGTAGAGGGCGAGTGTAATAAGACCTACGTTCAGAGCTGAACTAAATAAGTATATACCGTACGCATACATAGCGCAAAAAGCCAAACACGTGTGTTTGTTTTGATATAATTTTCGCGACACGTGGGTCAATAAATTTTACTAATCGTGAAAGATTGATGAAATGAATTTTTAAATCATATATCATTATCGCCACATGATATTCAAATTACCTCCTCTTCACTTTCTGAACTCTCTGGCTCTATTTCTATTTTATCGTTCTCAGTAATTGTTCCAATAAAATCAAGCTCATTTTTCGATGCCATCTTGAATTTCAACCGGAAGTGAATTGAATTAGTTTGGTATTTTACTTGTTCATTGGTTCATTTTGCTTTTAGAATGCACATAAAGTTTCACGACTAAATAAACTTGGCTCTATTATTAGGATATTAGTTTTTAAATATATATTCACAGAAAGTGCTATCGATCTACTTGCTCACTGTTTCTACAAAAACGAAGAAAACGGGAACTGACAGATCGTCAAAACTATGTCACGTGACTATACAATGTTGGTAAACATATATGGCGGGAAGAGCATGCTTACTTTTGTTAGCGGGTCCTAATAACTCGAAAGTTTTGCCACATACACAATTGATATGGGAATTACGGGATTGTCAAAGTTGCTTGGTGATTATGCACCTTCATGCATGAAGGAAAATGAAATTAAAAACTACTTTGGTAAGATTTTTGACACACAAAGTCACAATACACATTATTATTGAGTAATAGCTAATTGGCCTACTAATAATAGTAATACTCATATAGTGATAGTCATACTGATAACTCATGATAATGATATGATATAGCTACATCACAGATATTGAGATAACACACTTTTATGGAATTATCTGATTTCTAAATGGCATTCAAAGAATTATAGCTACAAAATATAATATACATGGATTATGGATTCGGAAACTAGCAATAGTATAAAGCTTATACATACTTACTTAACTTACTCAGTAACTGTGTGAACCGTGGTAAATAATAAACGGATTTCTTCGATTATGAACAAACTACTATACTTTGGTTATTATAAACTTACCTGTGTGTTTGAAATTACCTCCGGTTATATAAAATCCATTATACAACTATATGTCCTAGCGAATAAAAAAGTTCTCTCTGTAAAATTGAACTCATCACAAACTTTGACACCGAGAATAACCAAAATGGAAGCTAATTACGTCACTTATCGGGATATATCATTTCGTATAGGGGGGGTCAAAGCAAGGCTTGTCTGTCGTAACGGTTGTGTATGAATAAGCTATTCCTCTCGGAACTCAGTAATGAGTTTGGGCGTTTAAAGACATAAATACGCCCGTAGTCCGGTATTTTGTTTCCCTCTTGTATTATAATTATTTGGTTAGAGTTTGGTGGGATTATTTCTTTTGAACCATATTTGTTTTACTGACCGTCAATAAATTTCACCCTTGAACATTTTTAATATTTCCTGATGAACTTAAGCAGTCCTGTCAATTAACCTCAGCAATCTGCTGTAGCCGAGGTAAATGCCGATGTATTTTACATTTGCCTAGACAACATTAATAGCCGAGGCCATTGAATCATTGAATAGGTATAGGCCTATAACGTTATTTTTTTTTATATAAATACCAAAAATTATTATTACCAACAATTAATCATACCGCACACCGGATTAATTATCGGCAGATAGTTCAGTTTCTTTCTATTTCGCTCTAAATATTATTTCCGGTGTGCAAAAAACTGTTTAGAAAAATTTATAATCATACGTGATCGGTAACACAATTATTTTGTAAATTCCCAACTTTCTTTTGAAATTCACAAGGCAATGTATCCAAGGCAATTATATATACAGGGGTGAAAAACAATATTATATTTACGAGTATACGTATAATTGGTGATATATTCATTGTGAATAAAATTTAGTAGACTGACAATCAATTGTTTCCAAATCAATGTCTTTGTCTCAGTTGCTATTGTGTTGCCCAAACTCAAAAAATCGAAACGGTTGTGCGCTGTTGTGATTACAACCCTCGTGATTCAACCTTTACCCACTTCAAAATATTATGATGGTTTAGCTTATGACGTGGCATGTGTAATGTTGTGATGGACACTGTCGAAAATACAAGCAAAAACATTGATTTTTCAAGAGAGAACTTTTGTTTTGGTTTGGATATGTAATTGTGCAATGGATTTTATTCAACCGGAGGTGATTTCAAACACATAGGCAAGTTTTTAATAACAATTATTCAGTTGTTTGTTCACAATCGAAGATATCCGTTTATAATTTACCATGGTTCACACAGACACAGTAACATAGTTATGTTTATTCGATTCTACGTTGAAGAATTTAATAAGTTAAAGTGCATACGGCTCTATTATTTTATGGAACCTTGATTGAAGTTGAAATAGACAAAAATAGTTCTAAAAGCATCACAAGTAAAGTCGTCCACACAAAAAATCTGGTTAAGTCGTCCACACCCATTGGTGCGTGGAGTCGTTCACACCCAATAGTGGAGTTGTCCACTACTTGTTGGTGGAGTCGTCCACACGACTTAGTTTAATTTCGGGATATAGTCTATTAATACATTGGTAAAGTCTTCCACACGACATAGTTTACTTTCGGGACACATAAGGTATTCTTAATTAGTATTTTTTTTTTATTTATTTGTTCATTACAAAATGGCACCCAAAACCATAGGATAAATGACTCGTGTAGACTACTGATTATAAAATGTTAATTGTGGAATATTGGATATTAGGATCCTATAGTTTCACGGCAAGATAACAACATCAATATTGATTGAAAGTGATCAATGTTGAATTCTAATTCGTGTTTTTAATTTCGAATATTAATTATTATGGGAAATATTGAGTTAGATACTTAGATCATTTAAGTCGGCCACAGGGTATTGGTTCTGTCGTCCACAACTAATGGTTATATCGTCCACAACTAATACTTGACTTGTAATGCATAGGGTACTTTACTTTTAACATACCGGTAGGCCTATATATAATTTCTCTCTCTCTTTTAATTTACCTTTTAATTTACATGTATGATTCATATAGACAATATATATTTATATTTTTGTAAATAATATTTTACGACTAATGAATTTATGTGAACTTGGGCATGTTTTCAGATCCCATATTTATGTAAATATGTTTTGAATAAATGGTGAGAAAGATATATAAAATAGTGGCAGCATTTTCACCTATTTAGCGGACTTAGCTAATAAAGTTAACTACCGGTAGCTAGTAATTTGACTTTGATATAAGCACACAACAAGTCTTCAGTAATAGCTGGTCATCTTAATGAAACTATATGGATAATTGGATATTCAATCAGAAATAACTTAGAAGAGTCTGACTGAAGTATCGATTAACCAATCAGTGGATTGGCAATAGCCTTTTGATTCAGTATGTTGTTATGTTGAGACATGTTCAAAATTGTTATTTTTTTCAAATGAATAATAGATAGTCAGATCTAGGTATTTTTATACGCCCACATTTTCATGTGGACATATTATGCCGTCGCCCCTGTCCGTCCGTCCACAATTGTTTGTGGACTCTCTACAGGTCACAATTCTTATCCGATTTTGACGAAACTTGAAATATAGGTTTATCCCCAAAAGATCTTGGCTGCTTTCGATATTGGCATGTATCGGTTCGAAACTTCATGGATTATGGCCCCTGATTGTACGAAAAATCACGTTTTTAGCTTGTGGACCCTATAGAGGTCACAATTTTTATCCGATTTTTTTTTAAACTTGAAATGTAAGTTTATAACCCAAAGATCTCGGTTCCTTTCGATATTCGCGCATATCGGACCGTAACTTCCTGAATTATGGGCCCTGATTGTACGAAAAATCGCGTTTTTACCTTGTGGACCCTATAGAGGTCATAATTTTTATCCGATTTAAAAAAAACGTATTATTATATCACCGTTACACCCTAAGGATGGCTGAGTTCGAATTTCGTGAAAACGGCCCAAAATTGACAGACAAAATGGCCGCCGTTCGTCTCAAATAGCGTAAAAATATGGTATATCAAGGTTGTGAACCCTATAGAGGTCACAATTTTTATCCGATTTTGTTGAAACATGAAATGTAAGTTTATAACCCAAAGATCTCGGTTCCTTTTGATATTTGCGCATATCGGACCGTAACTTCCTGAATTATGGCCCTTGATTGTACGAAAATACGCGTTTTTAGCTTGTGGACCCTATAGAGGTCATGATTTTTATCCGATTTAAAAAAACGTATTATTATATCACCGTTAGACCCTAAGGACGGCTGAGTTCGAATTTCGTGAAAATCGGCCCAAAACTGACAGACAAAATGGTCGCCTTCGTTCTCAAATAGCGTAAAAATATGGTATATCAAGGTTGTGGACCCTATGGAGGTCACAATTTTAATCCGATTTTGTTGAAACTTGAAATGTAAGTTTATAACCCAAAGATCTTGGTTCCTTTCGATATTCGCGCATATCGGACCGTAACTTCCTGAATTATGGACCCTGATTGTATGAAAAATCACATTTTTAGATTGTGGACCGTATAGAGGTCATAATTTTTATCCGATTTAAAAAAACGTATTATTATATCACCGTTACACCCTAAGCACGACTGAGTTCGAATTTCGTGAAAATCGGCCCAAAACTGACAGATAAAATGGCCGCCCTTTGTCTCAAATAGCGGAAAAATAGGGTATATCATATCGAATTGTAATTTCCAGAATTATGGCCCTTGATTGTAGGAAAAATCACTTCCTTCTTAGCTTGTTCTCTATCCATCTCTCGAAAATGTGGGCGTATCCTGCCTGGCAGCCGCTGGTTATTATTAAAGAAAATTAAAGTTTGCAATATATTAATGTTTTGGGTCCGTTTAGACCAAATTATGGCCATTTAGACCATATTATTAATACATTTATTATGTACTGTGTAAATCATTTATTGATATTTCATTTTAGGTAGAAAGGTAGCCATTGATGCATCTATGAGTATATATCAGTTTTTGATCGCTGTTAGACAGGATGGATCACAATTAATGAGTGAAGATGGGGAAACAACAAGGTTAGTTTTACTAATGTAATTTGTACAGCACAAATTATAAGATATGGTTAAGAAAGAAATCTGTAATATTGCCTTTGTGCGTTAAATTCCATTTCATTTCCCCAACTGGAATTTTAAGAGTCAGATATTTAGATGTTAATGTTATGCTATTGTATCAATCATTTAATTAATATGAAGTTATGAACTCTGATGGTTTGTTTATATTTCAGTCATATCATGGGGATGTTCTACAGAACAATCAGGATGTTGGAGAATGGTATTAAACCTGTTTATGTTTTTGATGGTAAACCCCCAGAGATGAAGTCAGGAGAGGTATGAAATTTAGTTTGCTTTTGGCTCATGTTCGAAAACAAAAACATTTTTTGAAATGTTATTTAGAAGATTTTAAAGATACATTATGGAAGATTAAGAGCTGACCATTCTTGTATAATAGCTCAAAAATAGATAATGTAAAATGAAAATATTGAAAATTTCGTTCAAATTACTTCATTCTGAGCCAAGTTATCACTGTTTGTAGTTTTGACAAGATGTGTGCATTGTGGTAACCAGGGCACTGGTATATTCAAGGCTTAATCTCGCTTTCCCATTTTTAAATTAGATTTTTAAATGGGGAACCGTTCTAATCTAGTTAAAATCTTGATGATCCGATGTCATCGAGAGTTGATTATGGTCTTGTTTTGTTAATAAATGTCTAATTAATAGTCTATATAACATTTCAGGCCCAAAGAAAGACCTGCAACAGACTTATTTAGCTCTTGCATAATGTATGTTTAACTGAACACTTACATATACAATTTCACATTCAAACTCAAAGTACCACAACAATCGAAAACAAATGAATGTAAAGGACTGCAGTTGAACAAACATGGACATACATGTTTAAACCTAGTGTCTTTAATTTTATTTTAGTTATAGTTAAATGTAGTGTAAACTATTTCTAGTTGATATGGAAATGTTGTATGTTATAGTTATCAAAACGTAAAGAAAGAAGAGAGGACGCCCAGAAAGAACTCGATAAAGCAACAGAAGCTGGTAAATTAACTTGACTTAAACATTAACATCTTTGTAATTTTTATAAGAATATTATACACTTAGATATAATGAAAACCCACCACCTTTATAAATGGATGTTTGTAAATTTTGTTTGAGAGATGCACTGTAATCTCACAATTCCGAATGAAACACCAATTCAATGATGGGAACGTGTGAGAATGATGTTTTCACAATCACGTACATGTAAACACATCACAGATCAGGAGTGCTTTATGTGGATGACATCACATATTTTGATGCAATGCCAGATGGGATTCTACAAAAGTCTTCCATACTGTTGCTAATGGGACAGGGCCACATGGATTCTTCAGTGCTGAAACTATTCATTGCTGACTATGGACTGCATTATAATGTTGGACTGATTCTGACTCATTGCCGTTATTGTCTTTTGATTTTTAGCCCTTGCGCCAACGTTTCACTCTAAAGTTAAGTTGTTATATATAATATAAGCCTCGACGTGTTGTTGATTTCTTTTGTCTGGAAATATCCATCCTACAATCACATTTTAGGTGCATTATGTCTTGCCAACACTTTCAGCCAGTTCATTGCCTCTCAGTTTACATTAATTATATTGCCATATATAATATACCGTACTCTACAAATCTATGTAAAATGTACTTAAGAATAAAAGGCCCTGAAGGTATAATTTCTTTTCACTTTTCAATTATAGGTGATAGCGAAAATATTGAGAAATTTAACAGACGTCTAGTAAAAGTCACTAAGCAACACAATGATGATTGTAAAGAATTATTAAAATATATGGGTGTACCGTATGTAGAGGTAGGAAATTTATCATTTTCATTCCGTTGTTTGGTACAAATAAAGACCATTAAACAGTTCTTTGTAGAAGCCTTAGTATATTGTTATTAATGTTTGATTACATCAAGCTTATTAAAGAGTATTACCTCAAGTTTAAGGTAAAAGTAAAAATAGAAGAAGATTCCTAATTGGACAGAGAAGCAGTTTGATTACACTGGCATGGTGAGCGCTATGTAAATAATAGTGGTTAGTTATGTGAGACGTGGATAAAAATATATATATCATCTTTTGGGTGCTCTTATGTTGAGAAAATTGTCAGCTTTTTCAGAAATATATGTACTACCATTTATCAGATAATGTAGCTCATGATTGAATGATAACCTCAATGAATAATAAAATTGACCTATAAGCAAATGATAAGCCTGTTGGTGTAGAATTACATTATATATTTAGGCCATTCAAAAATTCTGGTTCTCAGACAATCCTTCCAAAAAATCTGATGCATTAGGGAGGTTTTTATTTTTATATTTTTATTTTGTCAAAGGATCACTATTGGGTTAAATGACTTCTGATAAACATCACATTTCAAGGCACTACATTTATGTCATGCTGTTTATAGGAATGTATGATTTTCCAGTTTCAATTACGATTACCAGTAAGATTTATCACGGTTGCATACATGTACTTGATAAATGAACCTCCTTTACACGTCTGGTTTCATTTTTTTAAAGAGTTTCTTCTTATAAGGTAATTAATGAGACCTGTTTTTATTTATTTTTCCTGAAATAAAAATAGGTCTTGAATATCTGAGAATCAGAATATATTTTTTGTTTGGCCTTATTATTGATTTATGTTACATAGGCACCATGTGAAGCTGAAGCTCAATGTGCTTCTCTAGTAAAAGCAGGGAAAGTATATGCCGTTGGTACAGAAGATATGGATGCTTTAACATTTGGTTCTAATGTTTTATTACGTCATCTTACATTCAGTGAAGCAAGGTTTGTAAAATGCTATTCTGAGCTTTTCCCATGATTTTTCAAAGACACCAGAGTTTATGTTTTGTTTCTTCCACATTGTTCGTACCTTTAAGATTATTATCTGTAGGGATGTGCCCACGCTGGACGGCATTATTTTTTGCGGCCCAGCACAAAGAAAAAATCGAAGAAAGTCGCCCAGTTGTATTTAAACCCCTTCGTCCTTCTCTGTACACAAACTCGGTGCTCGAAATTTACCACGGCAAACGGCAAAGCCATGGTAAAAGCCAACACAAACCATGTCTGCCACGGCATAATTTATTTTTGTGTGCCCTAGTAGACCCTATCATCCCAAATTAGTTTAAAGAAAGAAGTAATGGTATTTTGTTTATTTATATTTAGAAGTTGTGTAGTTCTGTTTATTTTACAATTCTACAATCTTTAAATTTGTATATTTGCCGTAAATTGGTTCAAATAAAACAAGAGCAAAATTTGAGATATTTTACATTAATTAATATTGTGGACCATTTTCTGACATACATTAGCACACAGTTACACTAATACTAGTAATAGAATACGATAGCACTATGATAACTCATTACAAGATTGCCAAGGTATCGAAGTCATTAGTGGTATCCTACTGCAATTTATTATGGATAAAAGTAAAAAACATTTGACTAATACCCCACATCGACTACACCATAAGATATGATATGGTAATTGAATTTTTGTTCAATACTAATAATCAGTACTATACATGTACATTATCAAAATTAAAACTAAGATAAAAATATAGCTTGTCCTGCTAATCGAAATAATATACAAGTAGTAAACATAAACTGTAGCAACGCCTTTATTCATATGCTTTTAATTGGTAAAGCTGTTTATCCCACATCTCTCCTACATTTTCAGAAAAATGCCAATTAAAGAATTTCACATGAACCGTGTTTTAGAAGGACTTGGGTTATCGCAAGATGAAGTAAGTATTATGCCTATTTCTATTCACACAATATTTTTATCTGTGCAAAAATATTGATCATGGGGGAACCACCAGTGAAATGTTATTAGTATTGATAATTCTTGTTACATGGATAATAATGATAGTCATGAAAAAACATTGTAATTATCTTGTAAAAATATTTAAATTTTTTCTTTCTATTTTCAGTTTATTGACTTGTGTATATTATTGGGCTGTGATTATTGTGATTCTATAAGAGGAATAGGACCAAAGCGAGCAATAGAATTAATTAAGCAACACAGAACAATAGATGAAATAGTTAAAAATTTAGATAAAAAAGTAAGTATTGATATGTATTTTATTGTAGTTTTTGATATTTAGCTATATAATGGTTATAATATGAATTGATGAGTATGGGAATGCCCAGAAGAGAAAATTAAAGGAGGTAAGCCATTTTAATTCAGATAGAATAAAAGCATTGAATTTGGCTGATCCAGTAAGTTATTTGGTTACACAGGTCTCGCGCTGTCGCTCACCAAGTTTGCAATTTGCGATATAAAAATGAAAGTGGCGATTAAAATTTGTTTTGGGCTATAAAGTTTTGGGGTAGTGGCAAAAAAAATCCAATGAAATGTGTGCGTATATAGTGTTGTTGCCCTTGTCCGTCCGTCCATTGTCCACAAGTTCTTGCAAACACTACAGATTTCATATCATCTGATCTGCTCAAAATTTTTTGTTAATTGCTACTAGAATTATGAGCTCTGTTCATTTTGTCACTCGAGCGACAAAATTTACCATTTGATATGCTTGAAATTGATATGCATTGGTAGTAAAGAACAAGCCTATTTATAAACCTGCGATCAGTAATAGGGAATTAAGCATATCCCCAAATCACTGAATGCGCGTAACCGTTTGGTATTGTTCGCCTGTGACCCGCTATGATTCGTTTGCAATACATTTGTTTCCTGGTCAAAACACTGGTATAAATGGCCAATTATCGAAAAATACCGATATCAATACTGTCACCAATGATCGGCTCATCTCTAATTATGCTTGCACACAAACTTTTACTTGAGTGGACCACAATTTGTCGCCACATCCAAATGAGGAGGCATGACTTTTTTTGTCAGAAATGCATGTGCTACCAATCAAAAGAAGTAGGAACCAGGCTTGTACTTTCATACAAGGGGTTGTCATAGATTTCACAGGGCACCAAAAATAAAAGTGGGTTTAAGTATGTAAATCAAATGTACATAATTTTATTCAAGAAACCGAAAGATTTAAATTTTAAAAGTTTTTTAATTATTTCAAATTTATATTTACATAAATTTTAAAAGTTTTTTAATTATTTCAAATTTATATTTATATTATTATGGATTATGTGTACATATATATATATAATTTCCTTTTTATCTATTCCTTTTTATACGCCCACATTGAAATGTGGTCGTATATTGTTGTCGCCCCTGTCCATCGGACCGGGGTGTCTAGGCATCCACAATTGCTTGTGAACGCTCTAGAGGCTAAAGTTAATATCAGATTGACTTTAAAATTATACACGTGTTTAAGGTCATGAGATGAAGAAACCTATTGACTTTCAACGATTTTCGATAATTACTGCCAGAGTTATGGCCCTTGATCACTTTGAAAAATATCCGATTGACTTTAAATTTATACACAGTGTTTAAGTTCGTGAGACGAAGAAGCCCAGTGATTTTCAATGATTTCCGATAATTATTACCAGAGTAATGGCCCATGATCACTTTGAAAAATCTTGTGGATGCTCTAGAGTCTAGTAGAGACCAAAGTTATCACCTGATTGACTTTAGATTGATACACAGAGTTTTGAGATGAACAAGTATATTGATTTTCATTGAATTTTGATAACTTGTACAGCTAAATCCATGATATTAAATGTTTTGTATACTAAACTTTAGCATGGGGCAGAATTAAAAGCCAAACAAATTTTAATGATTCTCTGATAATGAGTTTTAATGAGTTGTTACTCTTAATCAAATTTTAGTGTATTATAAATGTTTCATTACCAACAATAGTAAAAATATGCTACAACTCTTGACTGCTCGGACGTCTTAACTGCTGTGGGAGTATGTTTCGTTGCCTGGCAACCTATCTTTTTTCTTTGTTTTGCAATCTATTGCAATATTGTGTAATTTATTTGAAACCTGGAGAGGGGTTTATATAGGCTTTGCCTGTTCGCTAATCCCCTTAGTTTCTGAATAAATATTGTTTATTTAAAAAAAAAAAAAAATAAATAATGAGATTTCTTTTTGTTAACATGGTAAATCTTTTATCTTCTTGTACAAACAGAAATATGCAGTGCCAGAAGATTGGATGTTTAAGGTAAGACATTTTGTATTCATGAATAGTTATACCATTTGAACAAAGACTTAATTTTGGACAAACATAATAGATCTAATTTATTCATGAAAAATAATAATTGCTTAAATGCCACATTAATATTATCTTTTTATACGCCCACATTTTCATGTGCACGTATATTGTTGTCGTCCCTGTCCGTCCGTCTGGACGTTCAACCACAAACAAATTCTACAGGTCACAATTTTTATTCGATTTTGACGAAACTTAAAATATAGGTCTATCTCCCAAAGATCTCGGTTCGTTTCTATATTGGCATATATCGGACCATAACTTCATGGATTATGGCCCCTAATTGTACGAAAAATCTGTTTTTAGCTTGTGGACACTCTAGAGTTTACAATTTTCTTCTGGTTTTGATGAAACTTGAAATGCATGTTTATAACCCAAAGATCATGGTTCCTTTTGATATTTGAGCATATCGGATCGGAACATCCTGAATTATAGCCCCGGGGCCCAGATTGTACGAAAAATTGCATTTTTAGCTTGTGGTCCCTCTAGAGGTCACAATTATATCTGATTTAAAAAACCGTTTGAATATACAGTGGACTCTGTCACATCCGACATCGTACGGGATCGTTACAATATTTCGGATCACACAGCGTGTCGGAATACCGAGCTTTCTCCAAAACCGGAAATACTGTAACTTCGAAAACCGAAAGTATTTTTATATTGTAGCTTCGAATCACCAGAATGCTATTCCCTTTAAAAATGATAAACCTTTCTGTACCTTCAAAATTTTATTACATTAAATAATTAACAATAACAATGCATGCGTAAAATCGTTTCTTACTGCAGTTTAAATTATCGACAAACTTCTGTTTAAATTCATCTTTACGCTTTAATATGTCTGACACTGTAGCTCGGCCAATTGAATACTTAACGGCTAATTCCTTCTGTGCAGGTCGTGGAACCGTTTGAATATACAGTGGACTCTGTCACATCCGACATCGTACGGGATCGTTACAATATTTCGGATCACACAGCGTGTCGGAATACCGAGCTTTCTCCAAAACCGGAAATACTGTAACTTCGAAAACCGGAAGTATTTTTATATTGTAGCTTCGAATCACCAGAATGCTATTCCCTTTAAAAATGATAAACCTTTCTGTACCTTCAAAATTTTATTACATTAAATAATTAACAATAACAATGCATGCGTAAAATCGTTTCTTACTGCAGTTTAAATTATCGGCAAACTTCTGTTTAAATTCATCTTTATGCTTTAATATGTCTGACACTGTAGCTCGGCCAATTGAATACTTAACGGCTAATTCCTTCTGTGCAGGTCGTGGAACTTTCTCGAAATCTGCTATAAGTTGCCGCTTTACATCTAATGTCAAATCTGTTCGGGCACGCTTTGCAGGATGTTCAGACATCTTGAATACAATAATGTATAATGATTCTTCAATAGCGGCAATTTTTATATAATGTCGCGGTATTTGACATGAGTAACTAAAATCAAATACCAAGCACACTCTTACAAGAGATTATAAATTGTAAAATAATCAACAAAGAATTTATAACATTATCAAAGTAATCAACACAGACCGGCGCTTGCGAGTTTTAATCTCACCGATAATTGATTGGTGATTGCTTGTTAATCTTTTCTGGCTTCACACCCATTGAGTTTTAATCTCACCGATAATTGGATGCTTCACACCCACGTTTGAAGTAGGGATTATACGGTGTCGATTCAATGGAAATTATGTGACGGGGCGGCTGATTGATGTTGTAATCCGGAACATACAGAATCCGGATTTACCAGCGATTTTTTTGCTTGAGTTCGAATCGGACCAGAACTGACAAACAAAATGGCCACCCCTCCTACGCAAATAGTGTAAAATTATGGTATATCATGGTTGTGAACCGTCTAGATGTCATAATTTTTATCCGATTTTGATGAAATTTGAAATACATGTTTATAACCCAAAGATCTTAGTTCCTGTCGATATTTGCGCATATCGGATTGTAACTTTCTGAATTATGGCCCTTGATTATATGAAAAATAGCTTTTTGCTTAGCTTTTTCTCTATCTATCTCTTGCAAAATGTGGGCGTATCCTGTCTGACAGCCGCTGGTTTACATTACAGGAAGCTAGGAGATTATTTCAAGAACCAGAAGTAACTGATCCAGCAGAGCTTGATGTAAGTAACCGAAATTAAAAGTAGCATTAATCTGATTTCATTGGCACAGGGATGCAAATAACACTATCTTGGTATTTAGGGATGAATAACAAATTCTGCTAAATTTCTTCGACTTCATAATGATGAAGCTTCAGTAGAGAGCTTTTTGAAAAATGTTTGCTGTTGGTCAGTGTACTTTATTACATGATTTTATTTAGAAAAAGCAATATAATTGTTTTTAATTTATGGATGATATATATATTGTTTATAATTAATGTTATAATAAATGCCCGAAGAGCAACTTTGGTTGTGAAAACGTTAGCACAAATTATTTCGCCAACATAAATTTTAAATGGCAGTGTTGCTCAGTGTTGAAGATTATGTTTTGTTGCATGACAGCTAATGTTATTGATACTAATTATTGATTGTCTTTATTTTATTGTTTCATTGAAAGTTAAAATGGTCAGATCCTGATGAAGATGGTTTGATAGAGTATATGTGTACCCAGAAAAATTTTAATGAAGACCGTATTCGTAATGGAATTAAGAAGATCAGTAAAGCTCGCAGTGGTACAACACAAGGTCGACTTGATAATTTTTTCACAGTCCAGTCAACTACATCATCTACGAAAAAAAGAAAGGTATGTCCATTATGTACAAAATAGTGATTGAATTTTATTTTTCCCAACTGCCTAAAAATAAAAATTGTAAAATTAGTCTTAAACCCATTTGTGTCCATTTCTAGGTGCCAAAGAATAACGAATTATCTCGGTTAATGTGATGAAAATATTGAAAATCATATTTGCTGACTGTTTGCTTGTAATAAATTCACATATTTATAATAATTTCATTTTCTAGGCTGAAGAAACAAAGGGAGGTAAAAATAAAAAAGCTAAAGGTGGATTTAAAGGAAAGCCAAAATAGACTATCCACAGACGTTGTTTTATCTTGTATTTGTGGTTTGTTATTTCTACCATTAATCATGGATAGCTCACAGCTTCTAATTGGATTGCACTCTTATCCACGGTAGACAATTTACATGTAAAATATTTCTGTTGTCATATAATATTGGCATCGAAATCTATTAGAACACAAAAGAAACTGACAATGGATAATGGTCATACACCTTGTTTTGTGTTCTTGGTAATTCTGTATAAAGCTCATTGATTTAGATTAATCACAATATATATTTACCAAGATTTATACGACATAACATAAAGGTTCCCAAAGTTGTCTGTTCTTTCATGTTTAATTTGTGTTATTTTTGTAAATATATTGTTGGCACAAAAAATAAAAATTCATGACCCTATTATGACTGTGTATCCTGCAAGATCACATCTTTCCATAAATTTTTAATGGCACCATGAAATTTTTATTTAGTCATTGATATTATAGACTCAATATTATTGTTTGTATTATATTATGACCCTGTGTTAAATATCGTTATCTCATGATAACCAGGGTATTTTAATTCTTTATTTTCCCAATTGTGAAGAACAGTCCTCCAGATATTTAAAATTGAAAATGTGAAGATGCTGCGTTTGAATCGTGTAGTTGAAAATATCACTGTTGTCACTACAAGTGCCTACTGTCATCATGTATATACATCTATGTCTTTGAATAGATGTACTATATTCAATTTCGAAATTTGATACTTGTGGTTTATTATGAATTATTCTATGAATAGGGGGGGGGGGGAGCTAAATGGTTAGCGTGTGCGCGCTGTATCATAAAGTCTATCATTGAGTCAACTGGTGTGGTTTCGATTCCCTGGTTGAACGTGACAAGGAGTAGCATGTCCAACCTGGCGGGTTTTCTCCGGGTCGTATGGTTTCCTCCCACTGCTAAAGACCACTACGCGCAAGCGAATTATTGAAATAAAATAAAGCCATACGTTAGTCCCGAAATGACCTAGTTTGTGTCGAGTGGACCTTAAACCCCATTTCTCTCTCTCTCTATGAATAAGGAAGATTTCTGTTACAGATTACTAGCATTATACTGAAAAACACTGTCAACAAACAAAATGTTTCAGTTCTCTTTACATTATAATACAGGGGTGGATCCAGGAATTTTTGCAGGAGGGTGTTTGCCAGATTCCTATTAAGGAAATTTGACAGTTGACAATGCATGATGCCATCATCGTCTCCAAATTATGTACGCATACATACACTGGGCTTTTTAAAGAGAGAAATCCAACACCCTGTTTGATTTGAATTTTTATTATGAATTAATCAGTCTGATTAAAATATAGATCTATATTCCGTTTCTTTTTCTTTTTTTTATACTTTCAATGACCTCTACCACACGAAGATCTGACCAGTTGTAGTGGGAGGTCTCATCAGGGGTCATACGAGTGGCTTTTGACCCTATGACGTCAGACATTTGATTAACCAATCAGCGTTGATGTTTCTAGTAGGATACCCACTGTTCTGTGCATCGCACGCCAAGAACTCGCTGCAACAGACCGTTTCATTGACTAATACCTCACATCGACCAAAACGAAATTTTGAACTTTAAAAAACCAAAAAAAATAGAATCTGTGTTTTAATCAGATTGTGAATTAATTGTGATATCACATGTCAATATCATTATCTTGCGCTTTGAATGCCCATCCCATCCCACCATCTGACGACACTTTTCTCATAAAAAGTGTTATACAATTCTTTTTTTATGTAGCTGACTGCTCTGGATCTGCCCCTGTATATAGTTAATATCTCAGTTGAGTACTTTTGTATTTGTTTCGCAACACATGTATTGTCATACATATTGTTGGGCCAGAATTTTTGCTGGATTTTCTGTTGTGGTTTCCCCTTGTTAGTGATGCAGGACAGAGGGCCTGGCAATGAACAGCATCTAGCCGTTCAGGTGGCACTGATAACTAAGGTCCCAAGCACAGGTTAGCATGCACATAAAAAAGTTGGAATTTGATATTTCCTTCAATACACACTGCATAATGTATGCTCAGAAGGATCAGAAAAGTAGGATTTTAAACCCCATTTCATTTTTAAAACAAGAAACTGGCCAGGCTGTGCAGTCCCTTATTAGAGAATTTCTGTAACGATATACATTGTATAGCCTGAGAATTTTCAATAAAATCTTTACACTGCCAAGTTTGTATTCAGCGTGGTATATAAATTTGAGGTGCCTTGAAAACAGAACTCGCTAATTTTCCATCAGTATCCGTTTTTTAAAAAGCTTATCCAAACCTGGATTAAATGATATATAATACTCATAGGTTTACAACATAATCTGATGGCTTGAATACCAGAGTCATAAAGAAATCAGAGTCGAGGACAAGGTCATGTCACATGACTGAACATCATATTTATTCTCAAGCTTGGCTTTTGCACCTGTGTGTATTAAACTTTTTATCTTCTGAAAATGGGTTGGTGTTTATCAGAAAAAATAAAGAAAAGACTGACATATAGAAAAATTATCTGTAATAGGAATAAATGTATAGAAGCAATTATAAAAATATAGAAATAATATATTTAAAAGAAAACATTTCATTGTAACATTTTTTAACGTGAAATTGAATAAAATACCACAAAAAGACCTACCAGGCTTCCCATAACAATATGTAACAAATATATTAGAACATTCTTTTATCCATTAAAACACCATATATAAATATAAAATTATATAGAATGTAGCATATTTAAGATATAACATTTCACTATAAAAAATTTAACAAAAAAATGAGTAAAATACCATGAAAAAACATACCAAGCTTTCCATAACAATGCAGTATAACATTAATACACCATTTATAAATACATGTATATATAGAATGTAAGCATAACCATTAAATTTTTACCAAAAAATACATAAATTTGCAGATATAATTTTATATATCAAATAGTGTATTTTGCAAATAAGAAGGTAGGAATGATGGCAAGGATAAAATACAAAGGCACAATTGGTAGTAAACAGTTATCACATGGTGCATGTATTAACATAATTTGATTGTCAAATTATAAACCGTGAGAGAGTAGTAAAATTAACAAGCATTCTGAGACCATAGGCTAATGGTCAATGTGGTAAAATATACATATATATTTTACAAAACAACTGTAAATTAAAATAGACACTTCATATTGGTATGGATGAAATTATCTAGATTCAATGCCATTTTGATATATGAATTTTATGTCATTTTGATAACTATGAATTTTATTCTTAATGTTCTAATTTAGATATTTCATGCAAAATTCATGTATAAGATGGTGATTTCCATTTTTGTATGCCCATATTTCAGTGTGGGTGTATTATGTTGTCCCACTGTCTGTAAACAATTGGCAATAGTTAATAAATGGTATATAATGATGTGCATACAAATAATTTAATAAATGTTGGTGAACCAAACCCTGATATTCTATTTATAGTAACATACCAGATACCAGGCTGTATAGTGTTTTCTATTCACAGGCATTACATTTTTTAACAATATGTAACGATAAAGAACTATTTCTTTCCCGAATAAAATCTCTTTATTTTAAGTGCATTTTAAAAGAAATTTCGAAACTTCCATTTCTTCAACATACCAAGTTTGACATTTCTTATAAGTATATAACCGACTACATATTGGATAATGATTCAATTTAAAAATTTTATTTTAAATTTTTCTGTAGTTACCTAATCCTATCTGGATTATCGCCCTTATTTTATGCCTTTATAAATACACTTACAATGTACATAGTACAATTTCTTCAGCATACCTGTTTTGCATTTCTTTTTGTGGTATATTACGTATTATATTTTGTGCAATTACATAACTTAGTAATTCTGATTAGTTGCAAAACTGATAGTTTATTAAACCTTTTGGCGTTATTTTATCTGGATTATCGCCTTTTTTATTCTGGTGTTTTTGTCACTTTTTAAACTTCTGATGTCATTGACAACCTACGTCATTAAGTCAGCAGACGGCTGTCTTTCGAGACGGTCTACATTTTCTCATTAGCTTCTTTGTATTCAGTATTGTTTGTTTTTTGCTGTGTTTTTGTGATGGGTGAAACATTTACCCTACTGTGTTCAATATGCCTCTATTCTATTGAATACTAAAACGTTTCTTTATTGACTTTTAAAAAACATTTAGTTTTAGACTACCTGTTTTGGGTTGTTTTTTTTATACATTTCACCTATATGGTTACTTGTATAGTTATTTTTTACTACAATATGCTTACATTCATATTTCTTGTAACATATAGCAGATTATGACTCATGCTGGCATTACACAATGGTTTCTCTGGGGTTTATTTCTGATTGTTTTCAAATATGAATGAAGTCTGTTTCACTACAGGCCTGGGACTGTACAGCGCAGTGGACGCTTACGGCTAGCCCCCCGGATCCATTCACTTTTTTTGAATTGTGCGTCTGTTTGTGAGTTCTGCATAATATGTCTTGTCTGTATATTTGTTTTTTTGTAAATTATGTGTGGTGCAGTCCCCCTGCACTTACTATATAAGATACTGATAGTAAACGTAATTTTATCGTTTCCAATAATTGAAACTATCTGCTAAACTTGATTGTAATAATTTATAAAGTCTGTGATAAATTACTTTGGTCGTTTTTTCATCTTGACCTTGTGGGCGTACACATTCCTTTAATGTGGCTATTAAATCAGTTGCAATAGATTTTGGTGGAGAATTCAGTAAACCATTGTTGTAAGCTGGATATGAACTGGAAAACACATCTTCACATAAACTCTGAAATTAAAAAGACAATTAAACATAGACAAGCAGCAAAGTTATCCATCCTAGTTATAGTGTCTGGCACAGAATCCCATCAGGCATTACATCATCTGTAGAAAGCACTATTGTCCAAAGAACGAGTACTGGTATGCCAAGTTGCATGTTAATTGTAAATGAATTGGCAGAGCAACAAGATTACCATACTACAATATACCCTCACAGACAACCCCGTTCCGTTGTGAATTGCGTTCACAAAGTTTAAATGTTCAAGAAAACGGGGAGATAACCAACATTATATCAGTGTTTAACCCGTTAAGTGCATAAATCGTTATATAACGTCCTGGACAACTGCCACTCCCTGTGTGTAGGGCGTAATATAATGCCTTGGAGGTATTTTCCCCAACCTATTCTTAGAACATAGTTTGTCACTTGGGGGAATCCCTTGGGAATTCCCCCACGATCGCAGCATGTGTAGGACGTTATATTATGTCCTGGACAACTGCCACTCACTGTGTGTAGGGCGTAATATAACGCCTTGGAGGTATTTTCCCCAACCTATTCTTAGTTCTTCGTCACTTCGTCAAATTAATTACACAATAAGGGGTAGTTAACGTTTTAAAAATGTCACGCTTAACAGGTTAAATACCTTTGAATGACCTTATTAAATTCAAAATATTTGTATCACAGAATTCAAGAGTTATTATTTATTGACAAATACATCATGCCTTTCATTCATTCTATAGTTCATCTGTTGAACAAGATTGTGAATAATTATTTCATAATTTGTGATTTTTGCATGGCAGCATGTTTGAATAAATCAAGTTTGCTTCAGCTGAATGTTGTCTATGCTTACCTGTAAATTATTATTGAGTCTTTCTTTCTTACATTTTCCATCATTACCACATACGCCATGACAGTCCCAAAAATTGCAATCTGAATGTTTTCTACATGATTCTGTGGTTATTAATTCTTTAGCTAATTGGTCGTGAAAGAATACACTATCGGTATCAATTAATTTAATAACACCGTCCATACCCACACCAAAATTCTCTCCTTTCAAATCACACATATGTAAAGTTTGATGAAATCCGCTTTCCATAATTGACATGGCATCTAAAAGTTTGAGTGCTGTTACAGCCCTGTCTTTCCATAATATTTTTTTAGATTTCCAAGGTAATAAAGCTGGGTCCAGAATATCACCAGGAGGTGATGATTCCATCAAATATATGGAACCACAAGTATGGTATATTTTAGGAAAAAGGGCATTATCTTGGTTGAGTTTAGTAATTAAATATTCTTGTTGTTGAGCAAGGGACCAAACTGTTATTGCCAATGCTTGGTAATTTCTTTGATCAGAGGTTTTAATATATTGAGTATAATCCTCTTCAAATATTGTCTTTATAATATCTTCAGTTTTGTTCATATTTATTCCTAGGTTGGTCCAAATAGTATCCAATAACATTGATCTGAGTGATGAAATCGATGAAAAAGAGTCTCTGCTGCCTCCCAAAAACCTATTGGTAAAATCGTCAATATCCGGAAAGCGTGATTTTAATATGGCTGGTATAGTTATTTCAGGCTCACAAGCATCTCTACAAGTGGTAATCAAAACCGTTTTACCACTTTTATAATTGATGCAATGTTTATAATGAACTTTTTTCTCATCACCACATAACAATGGACATAGGCTCCCAACAACATAGCCTTCATTATACCACTTGCACTGCAATATTACACAGAAATTAAAAGAAAAAAATATACTAAAACAAACCCCCAAAATATAAATTACCGAAAAACATTATCTCGTTATAATACTAGTATAATCCGACAATCAAAGTTTACAAAGGATATTCTTCAGTAAATGGGCAGGTAGGAAGGATGTTATCACCTGGTAACTGATCATTGTTTCAATTATGCCCCGAAAATGAATGAATTTGAATATCAATATGTTCTTTCTTGGCTACCACCAGTCAAATCTTATTATGAATTTGACCAATCACTGATTCTGTCATGAAAGTGCATGATGTCTGCAGCAGTGGCAAAATTATCATTTATTTTATTGTCCTTATTTAAATCTTGAGCTAAACCAAATTACGATTGTAAGCATTAAAGTTAACTAGTATTTAACCACTTGAAACTTACTGTTGTGCTTATAATATTTAAAGAATCTTTTTCCGAACATCTTATGGCGTCTGCCACTCGTTGAACATATATAACCATCCATATCACTAAGATAGACACCAGTATAAAGCATACCAACAATTTATTTCTTCTTATCTTTTGTCTGCATAACAAAATCATTCCAAAAATGGAACTTGGTAGAAACTAGGACTGAAATATTAGTTAAATTTCAATGATTATCAATGGAGGGGAGACAAAATTACTGTCCAAGCCAAAATAAGTAAAGTTAGGAACTTTCTCTACCCACATTTCTGACTTTAACTTCAATTTTCAAATTTTAATGAGATAAAGGAATACTGTCTTCCTAATCTTTGTCTTCGTGGCAAACATCTGTGCTCTTTACCGAAAGCTAATCAAATTTGGCAAGTTGTTCATACAAATGTATTCGTGAGCTTAATTAATTAACAGTCACAACTACCTGTAAACTATAGCCTACACCATTATTACTATTCAGTATCCACCATAGATATCCTATGCTATCCACGTTCAACCGTGCGTATACTGTGATATCAGTTATATATTTTCTTGTGTATAGTATACGATAATATAATACTAGTCTATTGGACGACATAATGCATGTAAATAATTACATAAACTTACTTGATGGATAAACATATAACTATATATACTATTAGCCTTTATAATATTGGACCGATATTGTCGGTGGATATATGGTATCGGAGAAAGTATCCTTGTTTTAATCTATGCTGCCCTGTCATTACTTGTCTTATTCGAAGTGACATGAATTTATTATTTTATTCGTTATAAAATAATATACTTTCATGGGAGATAAATCTTTTTACTTCCTATTTTTGTTTTGTAGTTAACTCCCTTGAATTGCTTATCAACCATTAATGAGTAATCAACACTTTATTGCATTTTAACCATGAATCAATCATGTCCAATAAATAAAGTACTGAAACGATTTTCAAATTTTTAAGATGTCTGGTTTATTTTCCTGCTGCATGTATATGTTCTTAAATTTGATCATTTTATCAATCTGATTAAAACACACAGATCTTATTTTTATAGTTCAAAATTTCCTTTTACTTGTCTTTACTACACTAGGATCTGGAGAGTTGTTATATGTACGGCGTTTTGGTTGAAGTGAGGGATAACCCAATGAAACAGTCTTTTGCGATTGAATAATCAATGTCTGACACAAAGCCGCTCATACGACCCCTGACACGACGTGTACGTGTAGGCCATTTAAAGTATAAAAAAAATAAAACGAAATATAGATCTGTATTTTGATCAGATTGGTCATTTTATGTAAATCAACCATCGTATGGAATGCAATAACAGGAACGGATTAAGGCCCCTACCTAAAATAGGCTGAGAAATGAAATGAAATGGGGTTTAACGTCCTACTGTTCTGCTCCTATACTGGGCTAATGAAGACGGGTATACGCCATACAGTGTGCTATGAGGGAAATTTTGCCAAGGGATCTTTTATGTGCATGCAGATGTAGGCCTATACACGGGACCTCGGTTTTGCATCACATCCGAACGACTAGACAGCTGTCCTTGCCAGACCCTTCTTCCTGCACAAGGGGAAACCACGTATGAAAATGCTGATGAACGTCCTGCACCAATGACCAGGAGAAACCACTAAAATTGAATCACATAATATATATTCCTGTATTGGCTATTGTCAAACTATACCAGGAAGACTATTAATGTCATGTTATATATTACATGTATACTAATGTCCAAAAGAAAGTATACACACTAAAAATTTGACTAAGTTTTGTTTAAATCAAAAAAATGTGGTAAAACTACACTGAACATGTCTCGTGCGTCCAAACTCAACATTTCTAAGCAAATAAACGGCAAAACAAATGGACATTGTACCCAAATACCGCGTACAATGGAAAAACGACTTTGTTTGAAGCAGGACGAAATGCACAGTGTATACTTTCTTTTGGACATTAGTATATATTCTTTTAACCTTTTCTTGTATGTTACCTATTATTTATAATCCATTGTCAGAGAGAGAGAGAGAGAGAGATGGGGTTTAACCTCCACTCAACACAAACTAGGTCATTTTGGGACTAACACATGGTTTAATTTTATAGGGGTCTTTAGCAGTGGGAGGAAACCAGAGGGCCCGGAGAAAACCCATAAGGTTGGACAGGCGACCCTACTCCTTGCCACGTACAACCGAGGGATTGAAAACACGCCACCTGACTCAATGACAGACCTAATGATAAGCGTGCACGTGCTAACCATTCGGCCATCCCCATCCCACCCCATTGTCATGGAAATCTATTATTGTAAGAATATGTATTGTATTTTCAGTATTTTGTATACATTATTAATATCTGAAGATGCCTATAGAGGGCAGACAGCTAGCATGATTTAATGTATGTCAGAATGAAGTAAAGTGGAGAATTTTTTACCCCCTGGACGTATTTTTTATTTATTTATGCATTTATCTACCGTAAACAAAGAAGTACTTGTACTTTAATATATATATATTAATTGATGGGCTATTCATTAACATAGAATGGTTAGCACGTTTTGCAAGAGATGGATGGAGAACGAGCTGCCCCCCCTCCCCCCCAGTGGCTGCCAGGCAGGATATGCCCACATTTTTGCAAGAGATGGATAGAGAACAAGCCAAAAACAAAAACGATTTTTGTACAATCAGGGGCCATAATCCAGAAAGTTATGGTCTAAAATGTGCAAATATCAAAAGGAACTCAAATTTTTGGAATATAAAGATATGTATTAAGTTTCATCAAAATCGGATAAAAATTGTGACCTCTAGAGGGTCCATAACCTTTGTATTACACACTTATACACAATTTGCGTACAGAGAGCGGCCATTTTGTCGGGCAGTTTCATTTCGATTTTCCCGAAATTCAAATTCAACCTTCATTATGGTGGAATGGTGAAACATTTAAACGGTTTTAAAATCGGAAAAAAAAGTTGTGACCTCTAGAGAATCCGCAAGCTAAATTTGAACTCAACCATCCTTAGGGTGTAACGGTGATATACTAAAACAATTTTTTAAATCAGATAAAAATTGTGAACTCTATAGGGTCCACAAGCTAAAAACGAAATTTTCCGTACAATCAGGGGCCATAATGCCCATAATCCATGAAGTTACGGTTAGATACATGTCAATATCGAAAGGAACCGAGATCTTTGGGAGATAAACCTGTATTTCAAGTTTCTTTGAAATCGTATAAAAATTGTGACCTGTAGAGTGTCCACAAACAATTGTGGACGGACGACTGGTGTGACGACAATATACGTCCATATGGTCCATATGAAAATCTGGGCGTATAAAAATAAAATTTAATAACTATATTTTATTCTTCATATCAATAATGTACAGTATCTTGTTTATTTTAGTACATTATATTTTTCTTTAGTAAAGCCAATTAACGTTCAGAAAATAAATAAATATTCATGTAACAGAAAACAATGTTTACAGCCAGAAAATTTTCATATTATTAATAATGAGATCACACAGTTCAAATAAACCAGTCAGCGGATAAAATACATGAATTTTTTCAGTCATATTCAGAACCAATGGCAATGGCAATTTCATCACCTTCTATTAATGTTTGATGATACCACATATTAGCATCCAGAACCACTGAAAGATAGAAAACATTAATAAGAAAATGTTTATACTGAGAGAATTTCTGGCACTCATATCTAGTTTTGTTTAAAAAACATATGAATGTTTCATGGATATTTTTGGGGTATTTACTATTCAAATTATAACATTCTGTCTTCTTCAGGAATATTTAATAATGTTAATCCAGGAAGTTATGTTCGGATATGCGCGATTATCGAAAGGAACCAAGGTCTTTGTGATTTAAACATAAATCTAAAGTTTCATCGAAATCGGACCAAAATTGTGGCCTCTAGAGGGTCCACAACTTTGATATACCATATTTTTACATTATTTGCATACGAGGGTCGACCATTTTTTCCAACAGTTTTGGACCGATTTTCATGAAATTTATACTCATACGTCATTAGGGTGTAACGGTGATATATTCCAGCGTTGTTTTTTTTAAATTGGATCAAAATTGTGACCTCTAGAGGGACCACAATCTAAAAACGTGATTTTTCGTACAATTAAGGGCCATAATTCAGGAATTTACGATCCAATATGCGCGAATATCGACAGGAACCAAGATCTTTGGGTTATAAACATGAATTTCAAGTTTCATCAAAATGGGATCAAAAGTGTGACCTCTAGAGGGTCCATAACCTTGATATACCATATTTTTACACTATTTGCGTAAGGCAGTTTTGGCCCAATTTTCACGAAATTTGAACTCAACCATCATTAGGGTGTAACAGTGATATATTCAAACGTTTTTTTAAATTGGATAATAATTGTGACCTCTAGAGGGACCACACGCTAAAATGCGATTTTCGTACAATCAGGTGCCATAATTCAGGAAGTTACAATCCAATATGCGCTAATATCGAAAGGACCCAAGATCTTTTGGTTATAAACATATATTTCAAGTTTCATTAAAATCAGATTAAAATTGTGACCTCTAGAGGGTCCACAACCTTGATATTTACGAGGGGCGGACATTTTGTCTGACAGTTTTGGTCTGATTTTCTTGAAATTTATATTCCATCGTCATTACGGAATAACGGTGATATATTCGAACAGTTTTTTAAATCAGATAATAATTGTGACCTCTAGAAGGACCACAAGCTAAAAACGCGATTTTTCAAACAATCAGGGGCCATAATTCAGGAAGATACAATCCGATATGCACAAATATAGAAAGGAACCAAGATCATTGGGTTATAAACACGCATTTCAAATTTCATCAAAATCAGATGAAAATTGTGACCACAAGCTAAAAAGGTAATTTTTCGTACAATCAGGGGCCATAATTCATGAAGTTTCGATCCGATACATGCCAATATCAAAAGGAACCGAGATCTTTTGGAGATAAACCTATATTTCAAGTTTCGCCAAAATCGGATAAGAATTGTGACGTGTAGAGTGTTCACAAACAATTGTGGACGAACAGACGGGCAGGGGCGACAACAATATACGTCCACATGAAAATGTGGGCGTTTAAAAAGTGAAGAAAATTTTTATTGTTTGTTTAAAATATCTTCATTGCAATTAAACAGAATATCCTGCTTGCATTAGAAGGCAATCCCCTACATTATGGATATAATCATTAATGCTTCCGCATCTCATTTTCCTCTGTCACTATTTAAATCTATCCCTCAACTAACTTCATTATTAGAGAAACTATCTGAGCATGAAATTATGATATTAATGACCTGTCTTCTCCTGAAACTTTATTACATGACTTCACTTTCATAACAAGTTTTATTACTATTCTTTATTTTCTATAATATCATTCCCTAATAATTACCATTAGAGACAATCTAGTTCTAAATCTAACTCACCAAAATCTATACTTAGCAGAAATCAATATTTCATGGTCAAAGCAGGAAGGAGAGTCTTTTTTTTATTTTGTCTTGAATTAAAATTAGGGATGCAAAAAAATCAATATCGACTGGTATATCAAAATATTGCAATACTCAGAATGAGAATACTGGTCTTCTGCAAGACATATTGCAATACAAAATTTGTCAATAGATATTTTCAGATAGATTCCTTGATGGATTTCAGTTTCATTTGATGGTTTGTTTTCAGTAATGTGGATTTTCTTATAAAAATATCATTCAAAGAATAGCATAACAGAACTTGTTGTAAATTCTTACTATACTGAAAGTCTGTTTTAATATTTTACAACAAGAATCAAGCACTTTAATATAAAAATTTCATAAAAACAATCCATGAACACAGGTATAAGCTTATACAAATTGTTTATTATGAAGTTATTTTTATGCTTTATTGTATCACAGTATTTTGCATACTAGTCATAGTATTCTCTTGAATAACATACAATCCTAATTAAAATCTTTTTTTTTTAATGTAGAAAGACAATGTTGTTTTTGCAAACCCACATTAGGGACCTATATAGCAGTTACTTGTGTCTCTGAGGGTTAGAGATTAACAGTACCCCAGCGCCCAGACCTGTCAGTACTTACTTATTTCTCCTGGTTGAACTACAACTTCCATATGAGATGTACATGTATAATAACATTCTGGTGGGGGTTCCAATATCCAACGTTTATGTCCAGTTATTTGAGCCTGCCATGAAGGATTACCAACATTATCAATCTAAAGAGGATAAATATTAATACCACATAAATGTTATTGTTCGATTTTTAAAGAAATCCATGCAATTTTAAATATGGTAAGTAAAGGCATGTTTTAAATAAAGCCAAATATGGTACGGTATGAGATAAAGCCAAATGAAATACAGTTTTAATTAAGCCAACTAAGATTTTAAAGATGGTGAAAAAGGATAAGTTGTAACTAATTGACATAAATTAAAGCCATGTTAAACGTTTATATATACATACATGTAAATTGGCACCATAGCCGGGACTTCCCATAAATATCCAATCTGTTTTGCTGGATTCAGCTAATACTGGCAGAAAATATGGTCGACTATAATGACGTCGTAAAATACTCCCAATGGTGAAATCACAATTTTTCCTGAAAATGATAAAAATAGGAAATGTTATCAAAACGAGCTTATATTGTGGTAACTGAGACTAATTGTGAATGTCACATGCCTTCTTTTTAGAACAAAGCGTATGCACATAAATAACATTTTATTTGCGAAAATTTGCGGTTTCAAGTATATGTTATAGTTCTAATAGGCTATACGTGCCAATGATAACTATAACCGTTGACCACGACTGGTTTCGATTATAGAATGTGTGAACTCCACATAAACTAGTTTGTGGCCATCTATGGACAACGAATAAGATAAATACTTACCATCCTATGTACCATGGTTTTGAACCATCTCTCATGTAGGCCATGTCTAGTGTCATTTTAAATACATCTGCAAGTGCTTTAAAGTTTGTTTTGTATGGGAAAAATTGGCAGTCTGTTCCCTTCACATTAGTTCCTGATCCCGACACATTTTCATGAATATCTTTAAAAAATTTAAAATTATACACATCCATAGCTGTCCATTGTTTCGTGGCATCTGCAATTACTACTGGATGACCAGAGTATGCATATTTGCTCTCAAAATCTTCTTGTCTTATACCAGTCACCCTTGGTATGTGTGTAACATTTTGACAAAACTCACATGACACTGGAGGTCGAAATATTTTTTGTAAATCATGGGGCATATCCACCACACATTCTTCTCTTCCAAAATATTTAGAAGACACGCCTTGAATGGATAATAATTTTGATGCAATTTGTTCATTCAGAATGGGCCAGTTGAAGGTCCATACAAATCCAAAGATAATTGTTGCAAAGATCACTGTTTTTATAATGAAAAAACTCACATACATAAGCAAATTTCTGTTACTGTCATAGTTTATTTTTAGGCGTTTAAGAGATGGAAGAGATTCCAAATCTGATCCTGTTAACCCAAGAGATTCAGTTTTTTCTAGCAGACGATTGAACCGAAGTCTGGGGTGGTCTTCCGTATCACTTGTGGCACCCTTCATTTGAACGTGTCTGTGCTTTAAAATGTCACATCTAAGTCCATGAGTATGAAGTAAGATTGAACCACTACTATTACAAAATGACGCTTGTTTCAACGAGCTAAAACCTCAAATACTTCTCTGTCAGATCGGAACATCCTGTGCTTCTTTTATCAACAAAGAGGTTGCTTCAAAACGAAGTAACTAAACGATTTGGCGAAACGAAATTTAATTCAAAGGTAGTCAGCCGTGTGATTGGACTGGTAAAATGATTTGATGGGGTTTGTGTCAATGTCATTTCTCTCCTGGTATCCTGTTATTATATTACAGTATAAATCTATGCCTATTATTGATTAATGAAGCATAATAATGAAGGCTAATGCAGTGTTCTATGACTATGATGAGGGAAATGCTGGACGGACAGCGCTGTCTATATATACCATTCAAAAAAAGTAGGGGATATTTGATTTTGGGGGCATAATACTAAAATATGCAAATGACTACGAAAAAAGTCACTATAGAACCTAACAGAAGAAACATTTCCAGTAACATGTGACGCCCAAACGCACCAATAGCTACCGCATGGAATGCAGGTGATGCTTGGGATCATCATGGGGGTCCAACCCAAGATTTGCACGACTCTGACTTTGAATGTTACAGTCATTGTGGCATTGAATTCCAGGGTGGAAACATCAGTTTAGTTGTTTTAGTGACCAGAAAACAAATTTTGATATGCGTCGGCTTACCCAAAATGAAAGGTTACGTGCCCTTGGCATGCTACAGATCGGCACAACACAGGCGGTTGTGGCGCGGACGATGAATGTTTCTCAGTCTGTCATAAGCAGGCTATGGTCCAGATACCGTGATACACAATCTGTACAGGACAGACCACGCTCAGGTCGACCAAGGGCGACAACTCAAGCCCAGGATCGATTTATCCGTACCTTGGCCTTGAGAAATCGTGTCATCACAGCAAATCAGATCAGCGCTCGTCTTCAAACAGACACTGGTGTGAGAGTGAGTGGCCAGACGATTCGGAATCGACTGCATAGGGGTCACCTTCGCGCCCGACGTCCTCGCGTGATCCCTTGTTTGAGAGATCATCACATTCAGGCAAGACGTCGTTGGTGTAGGGATCGTCAACACTGGGATAATCGACGCTGGAGCAATGTGATGTTTTCAGATGAGTCAAGGTTCACTGTTGATTTTTTGGACAGACGTAGGAGGGTGTGGCGTCGTCGAAACGAGCGCTTCCAAGACGTTAACGTCATCAGACATGATCGATTTGGGGGTGGTTCTGTTATGGTGTGGGGAGGCATCACTGTTGCTGGAAGAACGGCTTTACATGTTGTTGCAGGGCGTGTTACAGGCCAGTACTACCGAGACAACATCTTGGCAGTCCATGTTGTGCCGTTCGCACGACGTCATGGCCGCCGTTTCATCTTCCAGGATGACAACGCAAGATGTCACAGGGCCAGGATCGTTACAGGTTACCTCCAACAACAGAACATCACCACATTACCTTGGCCAGCACTGAGTCCCGACCTCTCCCCCATCGAGCATGTCTGGGACATGCTTGGACAGAGGTTACGTCAACGTCAACAGCGTCCTGCCAATGTCCAAGAACTTGCTGCTGCGTTGCAACAGGAATGGGACAATCTGGACCAAAATGACCTTAGACGTCTCATTAGGAGTATGCCACGTCGGATCAATGCTTGTTTGGCAAACAGAGGAGGATTTACCCGTTACTGACTTGGTTGTGATGCTGTGGTAACTTTGCTGTTTGACCCCGGGTATCATTTTACCCTTATAATGGTCAGTCTGTGCCTTACTTAGTCTAACGATCATTTGGAATAAATCGATGAATGTGAACTTCATTTCATTTTGTCATTTGTTTCTTCGTCAGTTTCATTAGGTGACTTTAATAACACTTAAAAATCAAATATCCCCTACTTTTTTTGAATAGTATACTATTACTATATAGCTCCACCCCATGGAGGTGTATATATTCAATGTATATATTCTTCGAATTGCTTCTGACCACCCAACGGCTCTTTTATGTACACGCGGACGCCAATCACGCGGCCAATGTGTTCAAGAGACCTTGTTTTTGTCCCATCCTAACGACTAGACGCCGTCCAGCAGTCCTGGTAAAATGGGTGACCGAGCTGAAAACTCCCGATGGTATAAGCTATAGTTTTCTATTATAACGTCTAAATTAGTAACATCAATTCAGTTGTGAAAACCTACATTGTGTTGAGGGGCGCGACGTGTTTAACAAAAATGGGATCGGCGCAGCCATGGGGGTATTTATGAATCTAGAGTCCCTAAAATACCATTTCATGGACTTTGGGGGCAGATTTTACAGAATTCTGATGGTCAGAAAACACATAAAATTATAACATGAGTAAATTGAGTAGGCCTACTACTACGCTTGGGAATTCATACTATTTATTAAGATTTTTCCAAGAGTGCAACCCATGCCCACGGAACGCCACAGCCCACTCCACAGCCAACAGCCTATGGTTTATGAATCATCTGGAAAATTCTGATGTACGCGAGGATTATGTTGAATTAAGCTGTCCGCGAGGTTTATGATGAATATTTCTGGCAATGTGATTGAAGTGGGCATATACATCTCTTTGGTAACTAAAATGTATCGTGTTACCCGTGAACACACTCGGGTTCAAATTTAGATAACAAAATTCACAGTATTTTAGTTCCGTTTGGTTTTGAGCCTAAGATATAAAAACTAATTTATACTGTTCTGTATATTTTCTGGAGAAACATAACAGGTGAGCATTCTATAGTTTTCTGTAAAATTTAGATGTAGGCCCGTATAACCTTTCCCGTAAAATTTACGAGCAAATTTAACAAATAATATAGTAATAATGTAGGTATTGTATATATACTATTGATTTCATAATTTGGAGATCTTAAAAATGCATTATGTAACAGCTAACAAAAATGGCGTTCAAGGTCACAAGAAGGACTAATGTCATTGATATAAGATGCTTAGCCGAATTAGGAATTTTTCCTGTTAATATCGATATATTCCAAAGAATGACTATGTAAAAGGCTAAATGAAAATAGCAATACCTTACGTAACTCTCTACTTAATTCTGCATACCAGGAAGACATAAAATCAAATAGAAAGTGAGTTTAACGATCTCCTTGCTGAATCTTGCGGACCTAACCATAAATTCAGAACCTTCGGATTATTCAAAAAGAATTCAATAACACTCCAAAATATCTAGAGGTTGTTAATAATAAGAAGTTCAAAATTGCGATGTCTACCCTACGATTAAGTACTCATCAGGTTGCCATATCACCCCAGGATCGCATCTGTAAAAAATGAAATGCAAACAAAACTGAATCTAAATAACATTTTCTTATAAAATGCCAAAAATATGAAGATTTAAGAAAACAACTGATACTTTGCACGTTTTGTTTCGTATTTTCATATATATATATATATGTATCATGTATGCACGTTTTATACTGTCTATTTATATGAGTGCTCTGAATTTAGGGGTTCACGGTAGCTAAGTGGGTAAGACGCTGGCTCACTAGCCTGGAGGTCGGGTGTTCGATCCCTACATTGGCCGAGAAAGTTCATCCAGATTTTCCGGCGTGGTTCCCCCTTGTCAGTGACGGCCTGACAAGGGCAGCTGTCTAGTCGTTCGGATGGGACGAAAAACCGAGGTCCCGTGTACACATTGGCGTGCACGTAAAAGATCCCTTGACATTTGGAATTCGATATAAGAGTAAGCACACTGTTTGGCGTATGCCCGTCTTCATTAGTCCAGTTCGGAGCAGAACAGTAGGACGTTAAACCCCATTTCATTTCATTTCATTTTTGCTCTGAATTTATGCCCGTCCATATTTTTTTCCCCGTCCAAATTTCTGTACTTGTATTTAATATCTGTATATTGTATGCCGTCCTCAAAGGACGTTCCGCTACAACAAAATTATTCCTCTTCTTCATACAACGGTACTAGTACTACGTACTGCCGTGGTGTGATCGTCTGATCAAATCACCAATCAACTTTTTCATCAAAAATTCATCATCTTATCAGATCTTACTTTTGTTTCATTCTTGAAAATGCACCCGCGTTTGTTTGTTTTTTTAACACTCGTCGATAAAGTAAATAAAAACACGAGAATCTGCCGAGGTTTTTTTTTTTTTTTTTTTTTACTTTATCGACGAGTGTCGACTTGTTTTGATATTGATATTAAGATATTGATATCAAAAAAGACTCGTAGGAGATTCTCTATATATCTTATCTTGATGTCATTTGAGGTAAAAGGGGGATAACTGACATCCGTACAGAACATTGTCTGGAGGCAGACCACCATTAATTTCCCCATTGACTTCAATGTTAATTCTGGCCTCGTTGCCCACCTCCAACTTTTCTCCAAATTTTCGTTTGGCTGAATGCTTTTCACTACAGACAGAGGAACAAATGATCATGTCTTTGCACTAAAATTTGCACGAGGGTGACCACCAAAATTTTGAGATACACAAACTTGAAGAAGCATACTAAAAACATGTTACTAGTTGCCGTACATATCACCGTAGCCAACCTGATAACTCCGTTATCCTTCGCCTCAAAATCATGAATATTTACCAAAACCTGGCAGAAAATGTTAATTCAAACCATCATCGTCCATTCTAGACCAAAAAATCAACAAAAATGGGCATGCAAAATGGGAGAAAGGGGACAGAGAGAGAATTGCTATAAATAGACGAACTACAATTTGTGGGTACCGAGATGGTGCAATTTAATGGTGGTCTGCCTCCGTATGTTATAAATAAAACACCACGTGTTCTTCTTAATCCAAGTGATTAAAAACATAAACATTCGTTCAGTTAATGGAATGTAAAATCATAACTGCAAAGGTCATTCTCAAGAGAAACATTGCAAGTCATATATCATAATGAAACGTAAAGTTATGACAAGCAAACTCACTTTATTGTATTTTCACGTGATTTTTCTATAATAATTTTGCTTAATATATTTCTATCTTTGAAAAATTATTCAATTGTGTCCCGAATATTTGGCATTTATTTAGATTTAACGCCTAGAACAGATTCATAGAACATATTGTTCTGTTTGGAACACTCGAGTTATGGATAGTGAAACACGTTAGAGCATTTCAGAACACATTTATAAAAAAAACCCAATAAACAGA